GTCCCCCTGCCTGCTCGGTGGTAGTGTCAGTACACGCCGAGCCCGTCCTTCTTTCTCCACCGCTGTCAGCGGAGAAACTGTGGCCCCTACAGGGCCCCGACATCCGGTTTTTTTACCGAGGTTTCCTCCTCCATGCTCCGAAGAGCGAAGAGCCAGCAGGGCAACCGGCAGACACGCCCACCCTGCTGGACCAGGCCTTGCCCGAGAGCCGATGAACGGCTACCTCTTCTGCTAGAATATTGGCCGCTGGTGATAATCCTCTCCTCCAAGAGGACAAGGAGGAAACAGTACCATCGCCAGCGTTTCCAGGGTGCACCACGGGGAGGTTTTCTAGCCTAGCACCCCAAGCCGTAGATGGCCTGAGGTAGCCTCAAGCCCCTCTATTGTCATATTCAACTATTTATGATATTTATTATACAACCAGACACAGAACAAATAACCATGCTCATCACACAATGTTTGTCCTAGTTGGGAATCAAACCCACAACCTTCGGCTTGCAGTCAGGATCCCTAACCACTAGACTAACTTTAGAAATTGTGGTGGCAAAATAAATAAATAATTTCAAGTTAGCAATGGGTTAACATCAGTGGATTCTATCCTGAAACACATTTATAGCAGTGAGTCAGTCATCATCATTCTAGTTTGGTGAAAATGCTATATTTGTAGAATTAGAGATGGTTGTTATTACATAATGGTGCTGATTCTGTTGTTCGAAAACTCTCTAAACTAAACTAAAAATCACTAAAAATAATTTTTGTCCTGTCAAATATTACGTTTTCAGAATAGGAAACGTTTTTTGACAGAACTAAACAAATTTTAACTAAACAAGTTTAGAGAGTTTTCGAACAACAGAATTAGCACCAATGTCATCAGGAGTTGGTGAGCTATATATAAGTCGGCTACCTCGATGGCACAGTGGCAGCGTATGTGACTGCTGTGCTTAGGTCTCGGGTTCGATTTCGCGATCAGACCAAATGTTTCATCATCATCATCAATCAACAGCTTTTAACAGTCCACTGCTAGACATGGGCCTCTCCTTAGAAAGGAGGTTTTGGCCTACTATACCACGCTGGCCAGACGGGTTGATATAGGGCTTGGGTCAAGTTTTCCTTCTTTTTTGCAGTGTTGTTGTCCTGCGCAGTTTGGCACCCTTAGTCGGCTTTTACAACACCCACGGGATGAATGGGGGTGGTGACAATCCGTCACCACACGAACGGAATGTGTATGATCTGCAATTATTTTTTTCGGAGTTTGGGTGTTTTCTATGTATAATATGTATGTATTTAGAAAAAAAGTAAATAAGTATTCTATCAGTCAATCTAGCTTTCATAGTACAAGCTCTGCTTAGTTTGAAACTGGATCAACTGAATGGCGTTGTGTGTCAGACGTCCGAAAATATCATTATTAAAAAAAACATTAAAGTGAGTACTTAGTAGGGCTTGTAGTAGGCAGCTTAGAGTTTCTGGTTTCTCGACCTTTTTTAGACGCACGAGATTTCTCGAGTATTGAGAAATTTCGAAATTTGTAATATAATACGACGTTGCTTTATTAAAAATTAGGTTAATAGATGAGGTCTATTAAATGAAAAGGTTAATTTTTATTTATCCTAAATTGCTCTTTTTAATAAAAAAAAACGAATGATAAATTAAACAAACTATACTCGGTTGATGTCCATGGTGACGGATTAAGAATACGGAGGGTCAACACCCCTATTCATCCCGTGGGTGTCATGAAAGTCGACTAAGGGAGCAACTACGCAGGACAACAGCACTGCAAAGAGAAGGAAAACTTGAAACAAACCGGTCTCTTGAAACTCGGATAGGTTTTGTTTCAAGTTTTTCTGTCTAGCCAGCGTGGTGTATATATAGTGGCTATAGTAGGCTAAAACCTTCTTTCTAAGGAGAGGCATATGTTGAGGTTTACTATTTTTTTATAATTTCCAGTCGTCGTTACCAGTGCCCAAACCCAATCGCTTAAATTGAATTCTCTAGTTGAGGTATTGGGTTTTTTCCTCGACTAAGGGCAAATTTATCGATAATTCTCGAGCAGAAGTTCATCTGTATTTTGAACTTTCTATCGAAAATCAATTGTTTTGGGAACCTATCACTTACACCATCATTACATCACCTTATTTAGGAGTTCTGAGAATGTGGAACTGCAAAAATGCACGTGAATTGTCATTTCATGAGATCTCAACGTTTGGATTATATTGTGTATGCTGCGAAATTCTGCACAATTTTGACATGCAAATTGCGGGACTTTTTCTATTGTTAGTTTGTGTTTTTATGTTAGTTAAAGAGATTAGTTTATCCTTGTGATCTACTGCGTCCTGTAGATACTTTGTACAAAATTGGTACTTCATATTTTATGCAATTATAGTACCTTAACAAAGGTAAAAAGTTATTTAACCAGGTCATTGAATTAGCTTGAATTCCAATTGAATAATACCATAGACGGTTTGTTTTACATTTTTGTTTAGGGAGAGTTACTTCTATTTTTTATTAGTGCTAACCTCATCGTGCCTACTATCCTAAGCCTAATAATAATAAATCAGAATGTTAGTTTATTTGTTACGCCTTTACGCCTCATGCTTAAGTGATCAGCATGAAACTGCATACTTACACGTTTTTAACGGTACAGACTAGTACATAATTATTTATAGGGTGTGGTGACGGATTAAGAATATGGCGGGTCACCACCACTATTCATCCCGTGGTTGTCATAAAAGCTGACTAAGGGAGGACCAAACTACGCAGGACAACAACACTGCAAAGAAAAGAAAAACTTGACACAAGCTCTATACCGACCCGTCTGGCCAGCGTGGTATTATAGGCCAAAACCTCCTTCTAAGAAGAGGCCTATGTCCAGCAGTGGATATTAAAAGCTGTTGATGATGATGATGTAGGTTTTATCCAGAGAGGGTACTGTATTCTTAATGTAATTGTTATTAATAAACCCACACCAGGTTTCGCCAAACATTCACTTAGGTACATGTCGTCAAACGTTTAAACATCTAGGTACTGACTACATCATAAAATGATTAATTTAATGTTTTAGTCACGTCATATACACGGTGTATATACCTAAATATCTACATAGAAATAAAATTTAGCTCCAGGAGACATAAAAAAAAGATTATTAGTGTCATCTTGCAGAGGGAATAGAAAGAGAGGAAACGGAGAACTTCATTTTATTAACTATTACTATTATTAGATGCAACTTGGTCTGCGTTTCTACAAAGTAATAAATAATCTCTTTTTGGTAGACGTTTGCTATACAGTCACTATAATTTAAATTAGATATTTCAGAGGGTGTAACGCGCTACAAGGAACTTAGTTAAAAAAAAATATATGAGTAGCATTCAGTAATCAAGTAAAGAATCCGTAGGAAACATTTAATAAACTACACAATTATTTTGGCAGCGATATCCTACAAACGCTTTCAGTAGTGACGCAAATGCTGAATTAAAACTATTGTTTTCATAGACAGTCATGAATTGCGCTTGATAATTAGGGCGAGCAACTATATATCAAGTTTTTGACCTAAGCTGATTCGACTGGTGATCGGGTTAATTACCCGATTACCAGTCGAATCAGTAAAGTAGGCTGCGAACACCCTTCCCGGAAATTTAAGTAAAAGGAAAGTACTAAAGTGTTTAGTAAAAAAATTATGTTTCACGCTACACAACAGTTGAGTTTTCAGCGCTCTCGTACGTAACACATATAGTGTTAGCAGCACTCCTGTATGGAACACAAGGGGTGTGGATTACAGCAAGCTCGTCGGAAACACAACGTGTGTGTAGCATTGTTTTAAGGGAACACAACAGTTGCACATTATACGCACTGTTGGCTATTCACGATACTGAAAAAGCTACTAATGTTAGTTAGCAGTCTAAGGTTATTTCTTATAAATTATAGGCAGCAGAAGAATACTTTAGTTCTAATAAGTGAAAAAAAGTGTGTGTGTGTCAGCTCCGACGTACGATTTGAGTTTACTCCTTGAGAACGCATACCCTGTGTACGTTGGCTGCACTTAAACTTAGTGATCAGCGCCATCTATGGAAATGTTAGTAAAATAATTAGAAGTCACGTATTAATTGCAATTTTTGTGGGGTTTCTTCCGTATTAAAACAATTTTAATTTTATAGTGGACTACTCACTAAAATGAAACAAATTACAATCATATAACTAAACTCACAAAAAATATTATTATTACCACGTAAAAGTAAATAGGTGAACCGTCATCTATGAATTACATTTAAAACTAAAAAACGTAACGAGGTCATTCGACCACTAAATTTTACTTGTCATATTTTTTTCATACTGGGCGCCTTATAATATGAAAATCAATTCTTAAGGAGTCAGCCTATCGCAGTCCACTGCTGGACATGGGCCTCTCCCACTGCACGCCACTTAGATCGATTTTGGGCTTCTCGCATCCAGCTCCTGCCAGCCATCTTGCGGAAATCGTCACTCCACCTGGCCTGTAGGCATCCTACACTACGTTTGCCGAGACGCGGTCTCCACTCAATACATTTGTCACTTAGAAAAAATAAGCACGCACATATGGAACGGTCACTTTGTGCTATCTCCAATGAGGTAGTGGCCCAACTCTACATTCTTAATTTCGATTGTGCATTTTTGTTCTATCTTCATACAAAATCTGTAAAATAAGGTATATTTAGTTACCATCATTATAAAAATCAATTCAAATCTTGAAACCATGGCTTTTATTTTCAATAGAACAAAAAAATCTTCGTCCTGTAAAATTCTCTCAATGGTAGATAGGACTAGTAAGCACAGGTTACTGTTCGTTTACCATACCATTAAAAAAAGGCAACTGTAAATCCCCTATACCAACCCGTCTGGGCAGCATGGTATAGTAGGCCAAAACCTCCTTTCTAAGAAGATGCCTATGTCTAGCAGTGGACTAGTATAGGCTGTTGATGATTGATGAACTGTAAATAAAAAATAAGATAGAATAATATACATTTAAGACGATGGACAACGAGCAGCCACATCAAGAGCTCGTGAAATGCGTAGTAGTCGGCGACACAGCAGTGGGCAAGACGCGACTTATCTGCGCACGCGCATGCAACAAGCATGTTTCGTTATCGCAGCTGATGACCACGCATGTGCCTACTGTATGGGCCATCGATCAGTACAGGATCTATAAAGATGTAAGTGGTATTGTAATAAGCATTTCGTAGTAACGTTGGTCTTATATCTAATTTGTGTTAAGGCTCAAAGTTTCAAATTTGAAACATTTATTTTTATTATTTGTATATTTCAAAAGACTTCGTTCATTTATATTTTCGAGTCATTCGAAAGTGATATTATTTAATTTGTACAAAGAAAAAACAGGATTTTAGAAATATCTAGTTTTGTATTAATTTTTTTATGTACACTTCCTATTTTGAATAACTTACGATATTAAAGTACATCGCAGGCTACCCTAATTATTTTAAATTTGACAAAATCCATATAAAAGAGCGTACTCTTTCCTAAAAGGCCGACAAAGCGTTTGTGACTCCTGAGCTGCAGACGTTCATGGGCGGCGATGGTCACTTTCCATCAGGTGACCGTCTGCTCGTCTGCCCCCTCTAACATTAGATAAAAAAAAGGTTGACTGTAAGAGATCGCCTTGAGCGATAAGACCACCTACTGTTATATCGAAAATGATATATTCTGTACAAATAATACTATAGCGGTATACAATAAAGAAGCAAAATAAAGTAAAAAAAACAGTGATATTCTTAGAAATAAATTTATGCAGCTGTACTAGGTGTGTTTCTCGACTTGTTTCATCAATGAACAGGGGCCCTATATCTGAAGAGCTGAAACGAAATAACACAAATATCTTTAAATTACCAGGTTCTAGAGAGATCATGGGAAGTAGTAGATGGCGTGAACGTATCACTACGTCTGTGGGACACCTTCGGTGATCACGAAAAGGATAGAAGATTCGCGTATGGAAGGTAAAACTTATCTAAAAATTACGACGAGTAGGTTCAAATTTGATTGAAAGAAAATGTTTGTTGTATTGTAGCAATTAAATTGATTTTTTAGACGTATACCTATATTATACCATTTATTACTTCTATGTTGGTATCTATCACAACTCACTACTACGCTAAGTCTTGTGGGTCCGATCCCCCACGGGACGACACTTTGTGTGATCCACAAATTGTTGCTCTGAGTCTGGGTGTTCTTTGTGTCCGTTTCATGTATGTTTGTAAAGTCCTCCGCGACACAGGATTTATTCCTAGTGCGGGAGTTGTCTCTTTCTTATTCTCTCATTTATTATTATATTAAATAAGAAATATAGAACAATTAAATCCACACCACATTTCATGTTACATATACCATCATTTAACGTGGCAACGTTTTTTTTATGGAAGAGGGGGCAGACTAGCAGACCGGTCACCTAATAGAAAGTGACTAGTGGTAGGTTAATATATGGTGTAAATGAAGTTAAACCCCCAAAGAGGATCTCGAAAATAGTTTTTAAATAATGTGATTAATCCATTGATTTTATTTTACAGATCTGATGTAGTACTCTTATGTTTCTCCATAACAAACCCTATATCCCTGAGAAATTGTGGTGCTATGTGGTACCCAGAAATTAGGTATGTAGTATTTCATATAATAATTTAATAAAATTAACGACAAATAGAGAAAAAAAAATGATTTGTAAGAAGGGACGGAATTGTGTAACAGAATCCCGCGCTATTTGATTTGTCAAATGAGCACGTGCGGTGCTATAATAATAATAATAATATTACCTTCACATACCATGGATATACTCCCATAACACAGGATTTTTCTAGCATGGGGTCATTGATCAATGATTTTGTATGTACTCTGTTTGTTTTTTTTCTAAGTGTATCAATAAGGTGAAATACTATGTATGTACAAGGTAAAAAAAAATACTGTGTACCTAACTAACCTAAGAAAATTATGTTGTATTAGAAAATTTGTACTTAATTTGGCTTTATTAAAATATTATTATTATTACCTCGCACACGGCAGCCTCATGCCAAACCAGGCAAAGCCTGTACTAGTCACCAGGCTGCTGAGTGCCAGATTGACGGCGATAGACTTGACCCTTAGTAAGGACCATGGGCGTAGCTAGCCATGGGCTCAGGGAGGGGCAGAAGTCTAAAATAATATGTATCTAGCTAACTATACCCGCGGTCGTACCCCGGTTTATTTTTTCATAAAAAAAGGTTACACCCTATAGCACCCTGTATCTGTACTCGTGTGTATAATTCGAATTATCCAAAACACTTTCTTATTGCTCACCTACCTACACCACGAAATCTTCCATCCAAAAATGTGTCTCTAACTTCAGCCGTTTGGGCTCTGGGCGTATGCCAAGTTAGTACCTAGATAATTTAATTTTCTAGGTTTGCTTAGGTACCTTCAGGGCACTTGCCCCACCCTGCCCCACCGTGGCTACGCCCATGGTAAGGACTGAAGTTACAATCAGCAAAACATAGGCGTTTAAACGCCTCAGTGTAACCCTTCGGGTAAAAAAGATGAGTGTTTGTATGTACAGGACTAAATTAATACCAGGTTTTTATGCATGATGTACATTATTTTGTTGTAAATAATAGAAAACCTTTGTCTGTCATACAAATTACAAGAAATCTTCACTCAACCTTGAATGGTTAGGTATTTGATTGATATTTCCGTGCCGGCTTCGAAGGAAGCCTTTAACACGCTTCAGTAATATACTTATTATGTATATACAGTCAAACCTGGATAAGTGAGAACTGGATAAGTGAGAAAACTCTATAAGTGAGAGTAATAGCCAGGACCCATCATTTTAAGCTCCCAAAACCTCTATTAGCGAGAAACAGAAACCTCTGTAAGAGAGAGTCGTTTTTCCCTCATAGACCTCCGTAAGTGAGACTACTACTTATCTATACCTCTATAAGCGACAGTCGAGCTTTATTTACAAATTTATCATGTGCTATTTTATGACTCATTCTTAACTTTCGTGGAACTTCCTACCATTGTTTTTGTATTCTCGTCAATATATTTACTACATTCGTACTTGCTGTGACTTGTTATTGCTGCGTACCTCTATAAGAGAGAAACGCTACCCATGTACCTGCATTAGCGAGAAACTCGGGTTAGTGAGAAACCTCTATAAGCGAGAATGAGATTGTGCTCCCTTGAACTCTCGCTTATCCAGGTTTGACTGTACTACATTTGACTGACCTGTCGATCTAGTAGATAGTGTCCCTGACTGCTAAGCCAGAGGTCGTTGGTTCGATTTCCACCCAGGACAAATATTTTTGTTAATTCATTGTGTGATTAGCACGATCGTTCATTTTGTGTCTGGGTGCTATTTAATGTCCCTTACCATGCCGTGGCAACTTGTAAGTAAGACAACACTTACTATATTTGTAAAACATTTGGAAATATTTGTAAAACATGTTTGTAAATTATGTATTAGTGTGTGTTTTGTAAGTTGTCCTAAATAAATATATCTGTGATATGTATGTATTAAGAAATATTTAAGTATATTTATCAGCAGTCTGGTTACCATTATATTATTAGTTTGTGATCAGACTGCCTTGTGTGAGATGTTAAAAGTTGTTTTGAAAAAAAACTTTTAATTATTTTTTCAGACGGTTTTGTCCGAACACTCCGATACTACTAGTTGGATGTAAAAATGATCTTCGCTATATGTACAGAGATGAAACCTACCTAAACTATTGTAAAGACCGTAGTCCTTTTATAAGGTACGTTACTAATTTCAGTCCGTATTAGTCATTTAAGTAGTGATGTGACGGCTACTGTAGTCCATCAACGTCGTGCGCGACCGTCCTGCGGGGTGACAGACGGTGGCGGGGACGAGGTACTCAAGATGTCAGCGGGTAGCGGGTGGTGTAGCGGGGAAGGGAAACGCTTCTCTTCGTGTCGGTCGCACACGAGATTGCCGGGTTATAGTATGCATACCTGTTACTTTTTAACTAAATTTTCATATTAAATTTTACTAGCTTTGCCGCGGCTCTGACCGCGTGTATGTCAGTTATAGCCTATGTCCTTCCTCGAGAATCCAGCTATCTTCGTACCAAATTTCATCTAAATCGGTTTAGAGGGTATTGATTTTCCATTCAAACTTCCACCCCTTTTCACTCTCCAAAGGATGATTTCTGAGATAACATCCTTTCTAGGGACTCGGACTATCTCTCTTTGAGGTTTTTCCAAAGAACGTGGCCACCATCTTCTTTGATGTGCTTCGAGGCTTTGGCTCGTCTTGAAAGACCCAGATTGTAAATTGTTGTTTGGAATCAGGATCGTAGGCATAGATCCAAGATTCGTCACCGCTGATGATGTCGTAGACGTGATTTGACTCTCCTCGGTTGAACCTTTGCAGAGTTTTCTTACACCATCTGACGCGGGCCGCCTTGTGATCGTCGGAAAGCAGATGCGGTATCCAACGGCAAACTAGCTTTCTCACACCAAGCGCTTCATGCAAGATCTTCTGAATGGTTGTCCCTGAGATGCCTAATAGAGCCTCTATCTCTCGATACGTCACATGACGATCTTAGAGAATTAGTTGTCTCACAGCAATGATGTTATCTTCAGTGAAGGCGGATTTTGGGCGTCCTTCGCGAGATTTGTCACTAATACTAGTATGTCCACGCTGGAATTCTAAATACCAGCGTTCGACAGTCCGCTGACATGGAGCTTCATCACTGAACACAGATGTTAGCTTTTAAAACACTGAAGTCGTGTCAGGCCTCTTCTAAAGTTGTAGAAAATTATTGCACGAACATTTTCCTTAGAAAGATTCATTTTCGTATGTAACCTGACAGATTCCAACAGAGACTGTGACTAAACAATAGCATTAATCCTAATACTTTCAACTGTTTTGAGATTCAAAATTTAAACACATTCGAATATCGAACAGTTCCAAATTCAAAATTGCCGGGAAATATGGAAACGACAGAACTTAAAAGGCATGCCTAGCACTAATATTAGTAAGTCATGAGGTGAAATTTGATTAGCTTACGTTGGCCGTGAGAGAGTAATGTTTCCGTAAATTTGGACCAGCTGGACCGGAGTGGTACTAGGGCTTCACAGACAATTACAGTTCAACAACTTTTTTGTTGCTTTTCGTTGAACAGTTCTGGAAGCCTGAAATAAAATTAAGTTCATTTCACATTTGTGTTATCAAATTATTGTGAATGTTTCATATTCTTAGTTATTACCTATAACGCTATAGCGTGATTCATGTAAATGTTTTGTATTTTCCATCAGAGCGAAAAGTTTCCGCTCGCAGAAAAGTTATTTTGTCCATGTCACGGGAACAACCTTTTTTTTCTTTCTGTCATTACGAAAATCGATTTAAGTGGTATGCAATGAGAGAGGCCTATGTCCAGCAGTGGACTGCGATAGGCTGATAATGATGATTACGTCGTTTACTGGGTTTACTATAAACTAATATACCAGTAATTTACCAGACCAGAAATTTCTGTAACATACCTATCCAGTATTACCTCAGTGTAGACTTAGCAGGTGTTACCTTTTTTGCACATTAACTTAGTCGACTAACTAAGATATTTAATCTTCAATGTTTTAGAATATTACTAAATCAATTTTTTTTGTAGGGCCCCTCGCAAAAGCGACCTGGTGATGCCAGACCAGGGTCGTGCATTAGCCCACGAACTGGGTATATATTACTACGAGACGTCAGTGTTCACTTACTATGGAGTTAATGAGGTGTTCGAGAACGCTATTCGAGCTGCATTAATCGCGAGGAGACAGCAACGCTTCTGGATGACGAATTTAAAAAGAGTACAAAGACCGTTGTTACAGGTACCATCAATAGTATTTAAATATGATGTATGAAGGCTCATAAGCATGCTAATTTGTGATGATATGGAGCTCATAACCTACCTACCCACCTCCCCTGAAATTAAAAAAAAAATCATGACCTCACCATCCGAGGTTTTCCCAAAATAGGTTGGGGTTGGCTTTCAGTATACGAAACTGCTGAACTTAAATTTTTACGTGGCGTGACTGAGGTGTGACACCCCTACAATCCAAGTACTAGGGAATATCGAAGTTCTGTAGATAGACTGTTGGCAGCAACTACCTATAACGATTGCCACAAATGTTCATATATAACCGGGACCAATGTCTTAACGTGTTGTCTGAGGCATGGAGGGGATTTCAATGTGTTAAGAATGGTCACCTCTTCATAGACTGACCTGGCTAGGATTGCTTGCCTTTGCAATGTGCAGACCTACCTACGCGGTTACCACTTAGACACGAGCCCCTGATATTAAAAAAATTGTACAGGTATTTTGAAGTTAATTAAAATTACTTATATAAATTATCATTTTAAGAATACAGAGTTTTACCACCCCTATTCATCCCGTGGGTGTCGTAAGAGGCGACTAAGGGAGCAAACTACGCAGGACAACAGCACTGCAGAGAAAAGGAAAACTTTACACATACCCTATACCAATCCGTCTGACCAGCGTGGTATAGTAGGCCAAAACCTCCTTTATAAGGAGAGGCCTATGTCCAGCAGTGGACTAGTAAAGGCTGTTGATGATGATGATGATATATACTATAATTTGACACCTCGAAGCTGATCTGACGATTCGTCATATAGATACATCAGATTTACTAAAGAGAATACAATTCTTTAGCCATTAGGAAACCTCTTGACTTTGGTAACTCTTCATATGATTCGTAATAACGAGTCCATCAGATTGAACTCGGTAACGATGTTCTGAAAAATATTCACTTTTATTGCAGTTTGTCCGTTTTTCACACATAGCTCTGAGTAGTCTGTAAGATTTTTGTTCTTTTTTTCAATTCTCAGGCACCATTCAGACCTCCAAGACCGATGGAGCCTGAAGTGGCAGTAGTGAACAGCACGTATCTGGAAAATATGACTACACTATTACGGCAGCAGGTGAGAATACAACCAACTCAGCAGGGATTCTATCAACTCATAAGAGTTACTCCCGTGATTACATGTAGGTTCGGGACTATAGAGGGGTACGACAGAAAAGAATGGATTTTGAAGGGTTCATGCTAAGTTGACCGGATTTTAGTTCCGGGTTCTGTATGGCTATAATTCCTTTTGTTTAAGTTTTAATGAAAATAAGATGGCTAATTTAAATGTGTTTCAGAAATCATCAGCTTCTGTCTTGACAATTTAGTTTTACCCTTCCCTGATAGGTCCAGTATAAAGTTAGATTTTGATGAATATATGTTCAGAAGCGTATAGACTATAATATAGTCTATACATAGCAATTATAGAAAGCATATTATGCTTTCTATAATTGCTATGAATAAATTTGACGTGTTATATTTTTGCTATACCGTGTAACTATAGGACAAAATTTGGCAGAAAGATAGATTAAAGTCTGGACTAGCGCTTAGACTACTTTTATCAGGGAAATATTGATAGACAAAGACGATATTAGCACGGGAAAAGCTGCTGTAAACAATTGGTCTTTAACTTTAATCCGAAGTGACGAATTAAGTATACGGAGTGTCACCACGCCTATTCATCCCGTAGGTGTCGTAAGAACCGACCGAAGAGCAAAATACGCAGGACAACAGCACTGCAAAGAGAAGGAAAACTTGACAAACCCTATAACAAACGGTCTGGCCAGCGTGGTACAGTAGGCAAAAACCTCCTTTCTTGTTGATGATGAACTCCGATAATATTATGATTACAAAGCCAAAAGACCTTCTCAAACTCCTCGAGCATACATAATCTTTTTCTTCTCCTTATCGTGTTGATGGCAACACTTTTTGGCCCCCAATGCTCGGCTACGCGAATGGCGTTTGGCCTTGCTTGATATAAGTCGTCATCGATTCTGGGCTCGCAAGGCATGTTAACAAATGGCCCATAGTCTGTGGTGATGCGCCACAGTCGCAATTATCTTCATTCAACATGTTTCCCAACAGTATTTTTCGGACATGGTAATAATCTGCGGTGCAAAAGGATTCCCGGTGCACCGGTTCATGATGGCGGCGGCCTGTGAAGCCTTCCATCGGCTCCTTGCCAACGAATGCGTCAGCCTCTCCGCAGAACTCGCGCGCAGCTCCAGCGAGAGTAGTATGGTGAGCACTATTACGCTGTGCATCCAGCATCACTACTATTTAACAATAATAACTTTATACATCTCACACAGAGCAGTCTGAATCCAAACTAGGCAGAGCCTATACTATGGTAATCATACTTTTGTTTCTAAATACATATATTATAGACTAGCTGACCCGGCAAACGTTGTATTGCAAAACAAAGAAAAAAATCAGGGATGGGTCACCCTTATAATTTACGGGTATGAAAAATAGATGTTGGCCGATTCTCAGACCAACCCGATGTGCACACAAAATTTCATGAGAATCGGTCAAGCCGTTTCGGTGGAGTACGGGAACGAACATTGTGACACGAGAATTTTATATATAAGATAAATTACACCCAGACACAGAAGCAATGATCGTGCTCATCACACAATCATTTTTGATTGGTTGGGAATGGAACCCACGACCTCTGGCTTGGCAGTCAGGATCACTAACCGGCCCGGCACACAGGCCCGTCAATTTGTACAACATCACTGCTCTATATGGTTCAACAACACTAGTATTTATCCAAAAACACCACTGCCTAAACATTAACACTAGTACTTATCAAACAATACTAGTGTTTATTAACAGTTTATATAACGCACACACACACACACACACACACACACACACACACACACGCACTCATTATACGCATTCACGTATTTCATCCCCTAAGGAGTAGATAGAGGCATATTTGAAGCCCGCATTTTGCCGAGTATAATTTTAGTCACACTTACGTAATATTACACGCAAGCCTATTGCCATCAATCCAGCGCAAGCTTATGCTTCTCAATAAATACATACATATACAGACCTGGCCCAACAGACCCATCAAAAATATCTTCTTCTTATTAGCTGAAAGACGTCCACTGCTCGACATAGGCCTCCCCCAAGTTTTGCTACAACAACTGGTCTTGCACTGCCTGACAAGGGTTTTCTCCCTTAAAGAATATATCCTTATAAAAATTAATTTATTTGTAGGTTAGCAGTATGGGCGATGCAACTACCGGCGAGTTTAACGAAGACACCGAATATTTAATACGACAGGACCAAGCCAAACAAATGAGGTAAAAACAAATTTAAAAAATTCTAAAGGACAAAGTAACCCGCTTTGTAAGTAACCTCATTCATGTGTGTTATTACAAAATATTCTGATAATGATGTCTTGAAAACAAATGCTGTAAAAAAATATTAATATTTATAACTGGCAACACTAACAGTTCCTTGTGATTTAAAAACGCCATGTTTACTACTACCACTGTAACCAAACTCACTTACAACTCGATTGTTTTTGACTTCTAATACACTATATATTACTTTATTGGCGTGTTAGTAAACACTTAAATTCTTAAGTCCGGGACCAAGTTCATAGTTAAAACTGAAATTAGTATTCTTGGTAGTCACACTTATTTTTTATCTCACAGGGTGTGGGACCAGATAAAACGCCGTTCTTCCTGCCAGATTTTACCTCTGAGTGACAGCTGTAAAAAGCCGCCAGACTTATACAGAGAGGTCAACCATCCTGCAATACTGTCAATAAGAGTCGTGAAGGTAAGCTAAAACCAATAACAACTCCGCCATTTTAATAATTATATTCAGTTTCCTGTATTCCTAATTTTATTAAGTGTCGACGCAAGGTGTAATATTGAAAGGTTTTGGTTGCCTCTCTTCATGGCTGACTACCTGATCTTTCAATCCTCAGGAATATACTTATTAGACGGAAAAAAAGGCAGAAAGGGAACTGGATTAAGGAAATTGGTTAGGGCGAGGCAGTTAGGGGATGAAATACCGCAGGTGTAGAACCTAATGATGAAAAGGAGCTTCATAAAGCCAGAGTTCACTCCTATCACGATACACGTCATCTAAGGAATTGATATTATTCTTAAGACTATTTGTTATGCTTTCTGATCTGACACAGATGTTTGATGATAACTGTTAACATTTTTTACGTGGGAGAGCCACAACACAAATGGGCTGGCCTCGACCGGAGTGATACTACGGCCTCATCAGTGTTCAGCAATCCTTCTCCCTGATTCTGGGCGGCGGGGACTCATATGGCGACAATACACTATCGACTAGGACTAGGCGGCGTGTTGAAGGGTCCAGGGGGACGTAAATAAAATGGCAGTGGACTGTATTGCTGGTGGTTCAATCGCCAGGTCTTTACACGTACATCAACTTCAAGAACAAAAAAAACAGCGGCACTCCGGGAGTGCCGACAGAAGTGAAAACTTGAAAATTTTTGTTTTTGATTATAACAAGTTTTTTTTTTGTATTTTTTTTTGGTATTTGTATGTTGTACCTATTTACACAATATATGTTTACATAGTTATATTATGAATGTATTTCAACCCAAACTTATCTCTCGTGTAAACGGGGCAATATATGTAGATACTTATATACAGAGGTGTCGGTAACGGTAACAGTGTCGCGAGTCCAATGGTTTTTCCCATCTCAAAAAAAAACATTCTTTTGTTTGTTGTTCGAAAATTCCCGTCTAAGAAGCTCTCACTTAAAAAAAAAGGAAATATCAAGAGGTCGGACCGTGCACGGCGATGTCCCAAGGCGAGAATGACGGCCGTTGGATATGTGTGGTCGAGCTGCTCGAGGTCGTTCCCGCGCTCGCTTCACCGGTCAGGGTAGTCCTCCGGCGCCGATGCCCGCTATTGTGCGTTGAGTTATCCGTCTGCTGTTTTGCCCTCAATAAAAAAATTGCTATTTAATTATACCTTGCTTTATATTTTAGTGTGACAAAATCCAACATGCGACATCCCAAACCCAGACGATCGTGACCATGAGTAAGCTCATCTCTCAAACCGTGATGCAGGAGATCATTAACTTTACCTACACCGGGGGATTGGACAGTAGCGCATTCAAACAACAGGTCAGTCGAGAATTAACTTTATTGTTTTAGCAATAAGGTTGGAATATATCTAGTGAGAGGATGGTGAAGTGACAATATTTAGCAATCGTTTGTATCTAATTCACTTTTTTACTTGAAATCAGTTATTTTTTCTGTTATGGTAATCAAACCATACCTCCAAATACAGAGTTTTATGACAGTTTGTGACTTTTAGCCTATGAATATACATACATATATATATATATATATATATATATATATATATATATATATATATATATATATATATATATATATATATATTATTTATAAAAATCAAAACTTGGCTATGTTATATATACTGAGTTAGATTAATATTGTTGATTGAAAAGACTATTATAGAGACATGAAATAACGTTGTAGAATGCATTCTACAATCTAAACGTCAGCTGGGTCATTTGTAATTTTGCGCATTTTTTTTAAAGAGATTATCCTAAGTGATTTTAATTGCTATGGCATCCAAACATTATTACATTAAGAATATAAATCAATTTAGGGCAAGGATGTGCTTTATTAGTGTTTTTTATAAAGTCACTTCACCGTCAGCTCAATGTTTATTGTATTTAAAATATTTTTCATAAAGGCTTAAGCTTCGTATAAATATTTTATTTTTATTTTATTAAATGTACGGTTACAAGTAATTAAATTATTCCTGACTTAAGCTATTTTTATACTGTCTTCTTATTAAAATATTTAAAACATTTTTGTATATTACTTTTGGCAAATGTTATCGGATGAATATGTTAGTTACTTTTGCCCGTGGCTTCTCTCGCGTTAATGACATGTTTTCCCATAATAAAAATTGAGGAGACTGTAACAATGTAATAAAAGGGGTCCAGATCAGGGCCTCAATTCTGCTATTTTATGTTGACGTACAAGTCACTGTCATTCCATTGACACGCTACTATTGAGATGCCATTGACATCGGTCAAAATATCGGTATTCTACTAACATAAATTCACAGTGTCAATAGACTGTCGATGTAGTGACAATGGCTCATCAGGGGTGATAACAACAACATTGCCATATCTTGGCCGTTTGCCAAACTATTACAAAGACATCGACGACATTTGTATCAGTGACAGTTTAGTGACAAGTCATGGGGAGGCTATTGGTCTTACGTAGTTAGTAGAATAAGAAAAGTGTAAAACTATTTCATCTACAGTATATTGATACAATATTGAAATAGCAAAATTAAGGTCCAGTTCAGCCGTTCTGGCGTCATTAAGTAACAAACAAGCAAAGTGTGTGAGCCATGTTTCCGTACATATGAGCCAGCTCGACCGGAGTGATACAACGGCTTACAGAAACCCAGAGCTAAGCAATTCTTTCGTTGGTTTTCACCGAGTGAGATTATTGGACGTCTCCTCACGGTCACTTACCATCAGAGGGCCTAGTGCGAATTTATTGGACATCAACTCGCTCTCGGCGGCGAGCGTGTTCGGCGTTGCGATTGGTGCATATTTCAGTGCGGCCCAATCGCAATAAGGGCCGCGGTCACCGTGACGATCGAGTTGTACTGAATGAAACTCACACTAGGTTCTCAGGTGGCTCTACTGCTCATTTGCCACCTATTACATTAAAAACCTACTCTTAATGATCAATCTTACTATTATTGAGTAGTAATATTGATCAATGAAGATTCCAGAAATATATTTTAAATAGAAGACAGTGTTTCCTTCATCAATATTCTCCCTTGATTATATGCTTCTATCTTTATATTATATGTACGTAACCCACCGTTAAAAATATTGCCAATTAAAAATATATATTAAAAAATTAATATTTTTTATAATAACAACAATGTGTTCTGCAGTCGGCTGCTATCGGATTGTTACTGGTAAACATTATTGTAATAATTATTGTATAAAATAACAATTTCATTAAACAAATTCATAATTATTAATTTCTACCATTATTATTATTATAAAAAAAAACAGCACCTCCTTTTATACTTTTTTCTTGACGTATTTTTGTAGTTTATCATTGTTTACTGTGCTTTCGTTAGTCCTTTGAATATTACCTTGTACATTTTTACTTAGAAATATTGCTTGCTTGTGATTATAATAAAAAGGTTTGAGAGTAAAATTTGTATTTAAATAACAATAGCGTTGAATACTTCATAAGGTTAAGCGGTTACCATGACATCCTATCAAATAATAAAAATAAAAAATATATAAATAAAATGATGATGAATGATTTATAAATTAATTTGAAAAATAATTAAAATTAATTTGAAAATTAATTAAAATTAATTTGTAATAGGTAGTTACTTACAGAACTACCCGACTTCTGGTTAATAATAATTAAAAGGAGTTGTAATGTGACAAGGGGCTTTTGGAGAGAAGGGGACATAGGCCGGGGCGGGTATGGACAAGAGTGACTGCCTGTTTGCTCCTCAGAAATATATATATATATATATATATACGTCTTTTTATAGATAAGAACAATATGATATACAATATTCTACCGTAGTTTACAGAACAATAACAGACGGATTAAGAATACTGAGTGTTACCACCCCTATTCATCCTGTGGGTGTAGTAAGAGCCGATAAGGGAGCAAACTACGCAGGATAAAACAGCACTGCAAAGAGAAGAAAAACTTGAAACCAACCCGTCTGGCAAGCGTGGGATAGTAGGCCAAAACCTCCTTTATGAGGAGAGGCCTATGCCCAGCAGTGGACTATCAAAGGCTTTTAATAATGAAAATAAAAATGAAAATTCTCCGAACCCCAGAATATCTTGACCGTTTCTTCTAGTAGCCACACCATTGCGTGAAAAGGGCGGAGCTTTCCGAGTGGTTTAGGTGGTACTCGGAAAATGCCACACCACCGTAGCAGCCCTGTTTCTGCCATAATAACAGATCGCCTCACTGATTATACATAAAGTGTCAGTAAATGATAAAAAAAGGAAATTATTAAAACATAAAAGCATAGTGCAACAAGCATTTTTCGAATGTCCAAATTTAAGTTACTCGCAATACCCGCTGCATTAAAAATTCCTTTCAGTATTTATTCATAATTATGTCAAAAAACGAAATAATTTTAATTAATCGCAAAATAGGTGCAATATATTTATTAGAATACGACTTGGGAAAGCACAGTACAGATATTGTATTCCTTTTTCATTTATCACCTTGCCATAGACAATTTAGTAAACACTTTTATATACTTAACTATTTTATCTGTTTAGCATTTTTTTTAATTAAGCTTTTTAATTTCATATATAAAAACTGTTAGTTGACTAACGCTGTATATGTTTTTTTAAATAATTATTTGGTAAGTAAGTACTAAGTACCTTTAAATGGCATTTATTTGTAATAATTATTTAAGTCGCATTGAAACCTAAGGTATTTTTTTTATTGCCCACTGATAAAATACACACGAACAGTATAATTATTCCATGTGTGTGTGATTTGTCAACTTTAACAAAATATTAGAAACTGACAAATAAAGTATGAACAAAACTTACCACCCAACTTTGATTATTATTTGAATAACAACTTGTACAGGAAATACGCCAGGCGGCCGAGATGCTCGGATTCCACGAGCTAACCAAACTCAGCCAGTTCATACTGGATGAACATCTGCTCTTTGATAAAGGATTCATGCTGCAATTTCACACGGTAAGTCCTTTTTTAATTTTATTAATAAAATCTTCATTGGCAAAAACAGGTTGTTTTTTTTTTCGTGTGGTCACAGTCATCGCAATGTTACGAGGACGTTTGGAGTTAAATATTTGAACTACACGGTGTCATCTGAGAGCCTAGTGTAAGTTTATTTCACATCGACTCCCTCTCGACGGCGAGCGCGTTTAGCATTGTGATTGGTGGAGATTTCCGTGCGGGCCAATCGTAGCGCCGAACGCAGTAACCGTGACAATCGAGTAGATATGAATTAAACTCGCACTTGGGGCTTAGATCTATTACCAAAAGCATTGGTATCAAAGCATCACAGTTGGCAGCCAAACCCTATCTAAGATAATATTTCTTCAAACATGTTGTATTGAAGGAGAGCAGTCTCGTCTTTAAACTCAAAACGCTAACCTACTCGTTGAAGTATAATAAATAAAATGATATACTTGGACAAGAAGCATTAGTGTATTTTTCAGAGACTTCTTTTGTTCACACTGTCGCTACTTCGAACCACTGCACTTAAGTCCAATAGTGCTATCGACTGCAAGGATTTCATGATTTAATTTGCTGATGACTAGTTTTCCCTTCTACCATTCTCTTCGTTTTCAGCCCCTTCCTCAACGTCTGCGTGACATGTATGTAGAACGTAGTCTGTTTGCTGACGTAACGTTCGACCTGGACGACGGGATCCACCTCGCTCACCGCGCTGTTCTGATGGCACGATGCGACCCAATGAAGGCGATGTTCCAAGGACACTTTAGGGAAAGCACTTCAAGAGTGGTAAGTCTTAAAATAAAGGTTTAAAGTCGTATCCTCTTTTGTGATAATTCCTTTGTATGGTCATTCAGGGAACACAATACTCTACCATATATGTTTTTAGTTTTAAATGACTCGTCTTAGTAGTAGTACACTTTCTTAGCTTTTGGACGTCTTACCACAGCAAGTTATTTTCGTAAATAGCTGAGCTTAAAATCAATAAATTTCCAAAAGCTCCTATGCTATATTCATTCTAAAAGTCTATTGTGATTCTGCCTTCGTGAAATTCCTTCTGATAGAAGTTCCGTACCGCACCATCTCTGGTAAAACAAACTCTCCTCGTGTGATAATTTCTATAGGTATTGAAATATTTGTCTCTTCCCAGATATCATTCCCCGGCGTAAAAATGTACGCATTTCACATTCTGCTGAGCTACATATACAGTGACAAAATCCCAGCGGTGGATCCAAATAGGTGTCTGGAGCTCTTGGAGCTGGCTAACCGACTGTGTATGAACCGGTTGGTAAACCTCGTGGAGGCCAGGGTCATCGATCAACTGCAGCAGAGGGACAGGTACTTAAACTTTGCACATACCCGCTCCAGGAAATTTTCCAATATTGTCCCAATATTAGTTCATTCTTATGGATTACTCACGTGTGAAATATTTTGTTTCAGGGTATGTGGTGATGACGACCAAGTGGTGGAGATAGCATTATCTTTGTTGGAGCCGGTCAAGGTAAGTAATTAAATTTAAGAATTATATTAAAATATCGTATCTACAATATGATAAACCTTTCAACACAGTTTCGTAAAATTCAAGGCTTGTTTTTAAGTTAATTGTACAATTAACGTGAAGATAGATAGAAAATGTTTTTCTAAAAACCTGCATTAATGGCAAACCGAATTAAAATTTAGAAAATCATTTTCGGTTATAAAAGAGCTTGGGGTGGGTTATAATGTTTGCCTACTAAAATCCATATCCATACTAATAGTATAAATGTGAAACTGTGTCTATCTTTGTGTTTGTTACCTCTTCATGCCTAAACCGCTGAACTGATTTAGATGAAATTTGGCAAAGAGATATTTCGAGTCCCGGAAAAGGACATAGGATGGATTTAGGTGAAATTTGGTATGGAGATAGTTTGATTCTTGGGGAAAGACAAAGATTACTTCTTACCACGATAACCGACATAGCTGGTAGTAGAATAAGTGAAAGGGTGAGAACCCTGGGTAGAGTATATTATTTCACCAGCTACATCCTCAAGTTTTGTTGCTATGCTTTTTGCTGTTGCTTTTCCCGTTGGTGTTCAAATAAAGACATATATTCTATCTATCTATATCTTATACATAGTTTATATAATATGGTGCCAGTAACCCGTCACCAAATTATAATAATAATAATAGTTTATTGTTTCTCTCACACAGTACGGCAATACATTAGTCAAAACAAAACAAAACAAACATTCGTTAGACAATTGCAATGGTTCTATGTGAAAGACTGGTATCTGTACTAGGACAGACCTGTATGACAGATTACCAGCCTCTCCCAGCTCTGGATTAATGCAGTACTAGATGTAAAGTAGGTGTTATTGTTGAGTGAGAGTGTATAACAACTACTACCCAGTGGCAGTGTGTTCGTACATAAATGAAAGAATGTGTGTGCGCGTGTTTTTGTGGGTGAGTGTGTATATGTTTAGGCGTGTGTGTGTGTGTTTGTGTTAATGTATTGTATATATTGCGTGAATGCGCATATTGCGTGCGTAAATGTGTTTTAGGATATACATTATAACATTATAACATAATAGTAAGTAAGTTAAGTAAGTAGTAAGTAAGTATAATATGTTACTACAGTTGCACAACGCGCACCACCTGGCGGACTGGTGCACGTGGCGGCTGTGCGGCGCCTACGACCGCGTCTGTCGCGCGCGACACCTTAGCGCCGCCTCCCGGGACTACCTGTCCGACAACCGGTATCCGCCCGTCTGGTACGTACCTATTACAGCAATATCGCAACGCGCACAACCTTGCGTGAATACCTTTCCGACAACAGGTACCCGCTCGTCTGGTACGTACCTATTACAGCAATACCGCAACGCGCACAACCTTGCGTGAATACCTTTCCGACACCAGGTACCCGCTCGTCTGGTACGTACCTATTACAGCAATACCGCAACGCGCACAACCTTGCGTGAATACCTTTCCGACACCAGGTACCCGCTCGTCTGTCTACATGTCCGATAAGCGTGATAAGTGTTTTAGTCTAAAAATAATTTTAAATGGAAAACATAACTAACATAACTTAAATGCATCTATCTATATTAAAAATTATCTGCAATAAATCGCTACTAAAGATAAGACAGTCATTTGTATAAAAATAGATAGATAGATAACTCTTTATTGTACAAGACAAAAAGATTAATTTTAGAACAGTTTTATTTGAATGAGTCTTAAAATCTAGGTACAGTTACACAAAGAAAGTAAAATTACATAAGTAGATAAGATAGTTGTACCTACAATTGGCGGCCTTATCGCATTGTGCGATCTATTCCAGGCAACCGCTAGATGGAAAAGGAAATTAAGGATGGCATGCAGGGAAGTTGCAATTTTTACAGTACGATACAAGATATAAAACTAAAAAACTCATATAATTACTTACATAGCACACTAAATACACACATACACTATTAGACACACATATGCACTACAAAAGATAGGATACATTTAAAAGCAGGAATAAGATATGGGTACACACAGGATTTAAGGACATCAGGGTCTTCTCATCGCTCAACAATTTAGGAAATGTTCCTTCAATAATTTATTCAAGCTAGTGAGTGTTTGTGCTCGTCAGACGGGCAGTGGTAATGCATTCCACAAACGTATGACTTGCACAGTAAATGACTTGTCCATAAAAATCGTAGAATGCCTCGGGATTTTCAACGTGGAGTTCTCCGACGATCTTAGCAACCTTGAATATGTATCATGTATGAATTTGAAGCGTTCTTTTAAATAAAGGGGAGTGTTGGGATTAAAGAGTATATTTTATAATAGTAAATAGATATGAATATTCCGGCGAAGACGAAACGGGTAACCAGTTGTGCTTATTCCGATATTCAGAAACATGGTCAAATATGCGCAATCCAAAAAGGAACCTTATGCAAAAGTTTTGAGGCCGCTCAACATTATTAAGTTAGTCCTGGGTGAGATCAGGATAACTAGCTTCTGGGTGATCGAGGATTAGGAGAAGAAGGAAATCTGCAAGCGCAATTTTGGTCGCAATTGGTAAGAAGTTACTCAGCCTCCAGCCAGAGATCCGGCAGAAGCAAATTTTTTACTGACTTCTTGTAGGGCACCCTAAGACAAGCTTTTATCAAAAGTCAGTTAACATACTCCTTTCTAAAAGGCCGGCAACGCGTTTGTGACTCCTGAGTTGTAGACGTTCATGGGCGGCGATGGTCACTTTCCATCAGGTGACCCGTCTGCTCGTCTGCCCCTCTGACATAAAAAAAATCGGTTGTCTGTAAAGTCGGTTTCCTGACGATAGTTGAACGTGACAACGTCATAAGAAAATACTGATGGAATGGTTGCATTTTTCAAAAATGTATTATTGTATACGAGTAGCAGCTGTCCACGCGGACGTATCGCTCACTCAAGTAGGAGAGAGACAGATATCGAACGCTGCCGAACGCGGAGGCCGATTGTGCCTCTTTGTCGCATGAGGATTTAAATAAAATTGAGATATGTTTTCAGGTATGTGAAGGAGTTCGATTATTACCAAAAGTGTGTAAACGAACAAAGTAAAGAACAGAAGGAGCTTCGACCAACTACATCACTACAAGCAAACCAACAAACGGGCTGTTTATGTTTTACTAGTGAGTATTAAGATTCATCTTTTGCATGCATCAAATATAACACAAAAGTTTGAAAGAATGTAACCGAATTGCAGGAATACCGGAATCTTTCGGACATTTCCGGTATTTCTCTGATTCCAAAATTTCTTCTTTATGGATTTTAATGTGGAGTAAGTAAAGTATAGTATTAGGTGCTCAAATTTGCACATTTCTCAGAATTAGGAATAAATGAAGTTATTGGCATATTAAATTTTATTGAAACCCTTGATGTTGGGTCAGGACTTTGTTAGTCACTGTATGGTACCTCAATTCTAGCAATTAATATATTTTGTATGTAGGCAAAGTGCGTCGTGATAGCGAGCCCGCCCCTGACGTCACGACTGCGCTGTGCCGCAGCTCTGAGGTCACTCACCAACACCAGCCGACCGCGCCTCTCTGACACATGCCTTACTGGAGGTAATGTATAACTACTCTACCTATTGTCAGATTGTATCTGTCAGGTCTGGTGCTGACGTCAATACTGCGTTTTGATACTCCACTTTCACTCCACGTCACACTGGCAATAGCTTGGACCTCTTTTCTGGTTCGCCAAAGTTTCAAATTACCTGCCTGCTCATATTTTTTCAGATAATTATAATCCTGGAAAGTTGAGTAGTAGAAGGAATTCGTTTTTTCTTGGATAGACCTGTATCATCTTCGCTTTATCCTCATTTTGAATCACGTGCATTTTAATTTTATCGATGGAAAGCAGAGCACAAATAGGCAGATTAACCGGAGTGATACCGGCGTTTAGCACCGTACCGTAGCTCCGAACCCTTCCTCCCCCTAATTTTGTCGGCAATGCAATTGTGACTTTTCGAGTGCAGATGTCCTTGGCCGGTAGTAGTCAATTACCATCAGATCACCCATCTGATGCCCATGTCACTATAGAAATTGAACCACAATAATATTAGTGTAATTGTTTCCAGGTCCCTCCGTTTCGCGGTGCTCCTGCCAGTATCGATGTGTTTCATGAGCACAATACTAACTATACTCGTATTGTTTCACGTCTACACATAAACACTGCAGTGCTCACTAGCATAGCTCCCCTTGCACTATTGTATTAACTTTACACGGAATGTTTAGAACGAGAGGCTGGTGTCATGTACATGTATAATTTCCTCCTTATTTTTTTACGTATAATCCAAAAAAAGCAGCGTGTCAGACCTTTTTTTCCTACGTTGTTTAGGCAAAACTTATTTCAAATATTACTTTTTTTGGTGCTAGGTGTACAATAAAAATACTTTAGTATTCGAAGGACCATGTTAACAAAATATGTTTATTATTTATTGGTCCTTCAAATTTTTGTTTTGTTAAAATGTTTTTAGGCATGTACCGTCCAAAACGAAACGCAAAAAATCGCATTTGAAATAGGATGTATTTGGAGATTGATCAAACTATAGTAGTATTGACAAAACACCAGCCTCAAAGAACGATTAATAAGCGCAGAGCGGAATTCGACCTTATTAAACATAGATTTAGTCTATTTTCTAATAAGTGTAGCGTTGATTTGCAATCATTGCATTTAATTTGTGCGAAATTAAGCTCAATCTCTTAGAGCTAAGACATTGTGTTGCAGGATAATAGTTTTGTCTAAAATTTTTGTTAGTGTAGACATACATCAAAGAATTGCTGAATTGAAAGTATTGATCATTATTTGACCTTAACCTTTTGTCAATAAAGTACATATTTGTTAGTCAAAAATCGTTATGACTTAAGACATTCTACTCTAATAACATAATTGTACGTATGTATTTTTCATTATCATATGATTTCAAAATTTATATCTCTTATATTCTCTAAACGCCATCAGTAAGTTATTGGTTTTTATAACAAGTGTGTAAGGTTTAAAATAGCAAGTTAAAATGAAGGCGAAATTTTGAGAGGTAGATTTTAGCTTGGTGCTTGTAGAAGTTTACGATAGGGAAGATGAGTAAAGTTATTCGATAAGACAATTTTGTGTAGCGAGATTGATAAATTTAAAATAATAAATGATTAAAAAATTCAACTTTAGAGGTCAAAGTTACGCCGCAATGTTAGTATAAAGCTATACTCGTATGTACACGACGCCGTCGACGGGTCGGACGATATTTTTATTATAAGATATTACTTTACTGTAATGCAAAATCCAATACTGCAATTAACAAGTCTGATAATCGGGTTTTAAATTTCCAAAGGACATAAAGTAAAAAAAACAACTCTGATATCATCAAAAAAAGAAAGAAATAATAAAAATTAAAAAAAAAAATACCTTGCCATTGATACTGGCAATGTAGACAATCGAACGCCATATTGCTTTTAACTTCGATTAACGTATTTCCTTTTGCTTTCCTGCACTCTATGGGAGTAATTTCGGGCAAAGAAACGAAAGGGTAACAGAAAACCAGGGATGCGCGGGCTATTTGATTCAACCAATCAGCGCGCACTGTCACTAAGGCAAGATTAGTAACGCGCAAATTATATCCTTGGTTTGACAGCATGCAAAAAGTTTTATCTCTTAATACATTAAGTATAATTAAATTTATCAATCTTGCTGGACCCAATGTATTAGTATTAAATTCATGGTTACTCATCCAAATATTTTTGTACACCATTTTAGTGCCATCACAATTCCTGACTCCTTTTATTGGTTAAGTTTAGGATAAGGCGCCGAATTTATGCTAATTCTTAATAGTTACTTGTTTGGTTAGGGTTTTGATAGATTTGGGTTTGGGACACCTTAAAGAAAAAATAATATAAATATGATTTACTTATTGAGTTCGCTAAGGTTGACAAAAGCTAGCTTATGAGCAACAACATAAACGTATTTAAAGAGTACTGTGATTTTCTTACGTGTAGTATAATTATTCAGTCGATGCATACTGGGTCCAAAATAAAGGAAAAGGACAGCGATATTGACCTCTCTCTCACACCGACTCAGCAGCAGATTACTATAATAATATATATTATTTTATTAACTTGCCACGCTGCGTTGGCGCGTCATACTGACGTTTGCATGAATTTTCAGCAACGAATGTTGCAACTACAATAAGTTTATTACCAATTATTATTATACTACCATTTGGTAGTTAATATTTGCTCTTTTCAATACTATTGTCTCCGTACATATACATATATATATTATGTATAATAAATATTTTAGAACAGATCCAAGTCTATCAAACGGGTTGGAATTAGTGTCGCTTGATTGGCTCGTGTTTAGTCTGTGATAGGTATAATCTGAACTGTGATCCGTTCGGTCAAACCACGCGTAATAAAGCAATACGGTCAGCAAAAAAACGTGTTGAGTTTTTTAGTACGAAGCAGAGGCTATTATCACTTGAACAATTCGTATTCCACCACATTGCCTTTTTAAAACTTTTTGCCTAGCACAACACTCTGGTATAAATTTTGTCTGCGGTGATTCCCGCCCGTCCGATTCACTTCAAAATCTTCAAGAACAGCTCAACTTTTACCTTTTTGACAACGCATTTGTGACTCTTGAGGTACAGACTTCCATGAATTACAAGTTCCATTTAAATAAAGTTACTCATACGTAGGAAAGGACGTTTTTCGGTAGATCGTTAACCCTGAGTATTTGTTACTTATACCCAACTAAGTGAAATCACATTTTTGGGCCAGAGGTCATATTCCTGTATGATAAAATATGATTACCTACAGATTTTCAAAGTCTCAGCCTACGTGATAAGATCACGGTGGAAACCAATACTGGGTTTTTGAATACCTGAATTTAATAGTAATTTAATTTAATCTCACGGTACTGAAATGTGAACGTCCTGTTGAAGAAGTTGTTTTGCTGACCGTACAATTATAGTTGACGTTAGATATATGAATGTCGAATTTGTGTCGGATTGAATTATGTGAATACGACATTTTGTTTGCGTGTCTGAGTATTATTAAGGGGCCATGAATTGAACTCTTAAACCAAAGCCTCTTTTAAGCGACTGTGTTATAGTAGTTTGAACCGAAAATGTATTAAAATTGGGTGGAGAATAAGAGTCGGATAAGTTACGATTAACTTAAAACTGGTAAGTAATAGGTAAAAAGCTGGTAATAAAAGCTGGATGTTGCCAGCTCACATTTTTGAGTACAGATCAGAATTATAAGGGGTCCAACCAACACTGTGTTTAGACCCCTGAATCTAATATGTGCTAAGATTTTTTGTTTTTCATGCAGTCACACTAACATAAGTCACACTATATTTTTAGACAATTTAAAATGTGCTAAGACTTTTTATTTTTCAAGCAGCCATTAATTAATTCAATAACATTAGATGATTTAACTATGTAAAAATTAAATAGAAAACCTTTCTATTGTATTAATCACTAGATAACAAATGCCTTTTTACTAACTTACTCACTGTAACTAAAGTGGAAATATCAATAATACTTTGTGGATTTCGGTGTAAGAGTAGGACCGCCATTTTGTTTACATTTCTAGAAACAAGATAGATAGACACTCTTTATTTTACACCACGGATAGTTAACATACAATGCAGAATATTAACAGAAAATAAAAAAAACAGTGGTACAATGGGCGGCCTTATCGCGGTCTGCGATCTCTTACAGGCAACCTTGACGTTTTGACGTTCGTCAAAAAGGTAATCATGAAAATGACGATTACCTTTCTAGCTTTTCTTTCGTGTACTTATGTTTTAGAGGGGTTTATAATATAACCCCTCTACCCTATGACCTATATCCGAGAGGGATCTCTGATTTAAGCCTAAGATAGATGGAAAAACATGGACATTTGCTAGACAAAAAATTGAAAATTAGCTGGTGGAAGATTCCGAAAGTTTTTCTCCAACTACCCTCTTGTTTATTTGTAGGAACTTAGTGTAAACATGATTTATATTTCTCATTCAGTAATCTGTCTCTTACATAGCATTTGTCTTCTAGTGATAATAATAATAAGACTTAAAATCCATCATTCAACGCACAACGATTGTAGATACCCTAGTCTTTGAAGCCTGACTAGCTTTAACTAAGCTTACATTAGTTGTGCGAAATATTTTCAACTTTAAATGAACACACTAAGATCTGAAACGGTAACACTTGGAATGTAGGATGCGATTGAGTATTGTATATTTTAAACATGACGTTTTAGTAATGTTAAATGGTGGATTTTTTTAAAGAAAAATATATCTTTTTAGCATATTGCTAAAGTTCATTTTACACTGCAGGCCATATTTTCGGAGCCACCCATTTTTCATAGCTTAGAATAGATCCACTAAGACATAGTTTAAATAATCTCCTAAGAACTTGAAGTACAAAATGTCATCACTATAAACGTACAGGTTATTGATCTATTTTCACTATATTTCTATAATACATATATACTATTTTGTTTTAACGAGCACGCCCTAAAACATTAAGTCGTAACACTGTATTTTTTTATGTGTATACTTGCTTGCAGAAAGCACTACAATATTGAGGGTTTACTCTGAATACCAGCTAAGTGCTAGTGATACCGCGGCCTCGCAGAAAATCGGTGTTAAGCAACTCATTTTTTACTTGTCCCTGAGTAATTTTACTGGAGGCTCACCACTTACCCCTACCTTTCTGACTGGAGGGCGGAGGAGTTCCGAGACCATAAAGGCACTTGTGTTTGTTGAGTTTCATGTGCCCTTGGGTGGAGGTAGTCCATCTGGGCCTCAATTCTGCTTTTTTTATGTTAACGCTCAGTCACTGTCATTCCTTTGACGAGCTATTGAGATGCCACTGACATCGGTCAAAATATCGGTATTCTACTAACACAAATTCAGTGTCAATAGACTGTCGATATAGTAATATGGGTTATTAATGGTAATCAACAACATTACCATATCATGAAAATTAAAGATATCATATTCTTACAAAGGACAATAGCAGGAATGTATAAGACTTTTGTACCACCTTGCATATCTCATGGTAGGGATTAGTGTTGTATTTATTTGGCTGGTAATATCATCAACAATTATAGTTTTAATTACCGGTTTTTTAGAACTATGCGTTCAAAAGTTATTTTAGTTTGTAGTTTGCATATAGGCTGTACTGAAGTCGATACCAATGACAGCTGCCTGTCACAAATGAGTTGGCATTGCTATCAATAATTTAGCCTAGATATCTTTCAAAATCATTCGTTTATGATTTTCATGATCCGTCAATAAAATGATGCCCTGTCAAATCAGTTTAATCTAATCGATTTAAATAAAAGTTATTAGTACTTTTCCTTAAATTAAGTGATTTAAAATAATAGTTCCTTTATTACTTCGTCTAATCTGTACAGTCAACATTATTAATAAAGAAATGTTTGTTTTTAACTGCTAAATACATCAGTGAGCTCATTCATTAATCGCGATGCAAAAAATATAGTTTTATGTGATTTATATTTTATGTATGGCAAGTTTAGAAAACATAGAAATGCGTTCCTAAGTAAGTTTAAACCCTTCTATGTTTTCGACTGAAAGACTTGGTCATGAATAAAAATAATTTAAAAAAATAGAAATGGGTTTGTTAACAACATTTGAACATTTAGTTATTGCAGTTGTAACAATTCTTTGAGAAGAACTTATTTACTTTTAGCAAAGTTCTAAAGATATTATAATTATATGAAAATAGTTAGGATGATTCGCTTTATAAACGGTACAAATTAGGGTTACAGGATCTGCCGTTCTCCTTTAAAATGTACCGTTTACCAAACATCGACGACATTCGTATCAGTGGAAAGTCATTGGTCTTACATAGTTAGTAGAATAAGACTATTCCGACGACATTCCATCGACAGTCTATTAATACAATATTAAGATAGCAGAATTGAGGTCATGGTCGTTTATCAGGTTACCTTAAAAAAGTGCAGTTTACTTAGTTTTAGATTGATCTCCTGAAAATTTATATCTAATAAAGTTCTTACATTATTAGCACAAGAGAGAAAATATTTTTGTGTTTAAATTTTAAAGCAAAAATTAAATATTAGCTACTAAAAATGTAAGATATAGATGTTAACTTTTGGCGTCACTATTCAAAATTAGTTGACTGCACTTTTCAAAACTGGTTCTCGTAGTAAACCCACTATATTATCCACTTATTTCTTCACTTTTTAAAGTTTAAGGGTTGTACATATTTTATTATAACTTTACACTACAATTCATGACATTAAATTTAGTTATATGTAGGTATATTTTTTTGCAAGCAAGTGTAATTTTTATTAAAATTTTATCTATGATCTCATAAATTACTGAGCACTCATTCGAAAGCAGGGTTACTCTATGAAATTAAAATACCGCTTCAATTATTAGTACTAATAGGATTAGATTTCAGTAGATTTTATTGCACTTCAGTGTATTTAGTTGATATTTAATGCACATTAGTTGTATTTAATTTAAAACTAATGAATATTTAAGGATAATGCCGTGTTAACAATTATATTGTAGTCAGTAAAGACTGTATTTGTAATAACTTTAAAAAGAAATTGTATCCATTAATTTAATTTTTAGATAATAATAGATAACAGTATTATTTACATCACAATATAGAAATAATTTGTCGTTAGGTTTTTTTAATGACGGTTCATAGTTTGAAGATGATTGGGCAGTGTCGGTTATACTGTCCAGTTTTTTTATCATTACAGTGTATTTAAGAGAGATATGATATAGCATACTAAACCATATGTATTGTAGTTTTTTGTTTCATTTCTTTAAGCAATGCTAATATTATTATATTTAACCCGGACTACTCATAAAGGAGTCATTATGTGATATAAAAATTATGTTTTTTTTGTGTTAGTCAAATAACTTAGATCACTGGTATGTCTATAGTGACTGTCAATGATGTGAAAGCGTCGAAAATAACTAGTGTCCAACTGTTGGCCACTATGTTCGTTCCATTTGCAAGCACACCAGCCGTGCTGAATAATGGTGCTTTAGATGTTTTATACTGCGACATTCATTCTAGACATATAAATGATCTAAGTCAAAAAAATGTTTATGTTGGTCATGATTTGTTGACATGACAAATTAAGGCAGATACAATACATCTCTTTTGGCATTGAATAGCTAACTGTAACTGTTATTGGATCTGATGTACCTAATATCTACATAATTTCACACATCCCACATATAGCCATCTAATTAAAAACCAGGCAGAGCCAAGGTAACCAGTCTGCTGCTAAACATATTTAAATATTTATAAATAATATATAGATATATAATCACAATAATAACTTGTCCTGGGTGGGAATCAATCCCACTAGCCACTAAAACAACAGGCTAAAAGAAACAGATTAAAAATATAGATTTCAAAATTCGAACAATTTGTGATCTGATAGAATTGTTTGTGGGTACCGAATATCGATAACAGCTTATAAAGGTGTCAGTTTTTAATTCAATGTTTGTTATGTTGTAGTAAAATTACTGAAATCTGCTCCACAAAGCGATCTAGAATTTTAGCTTAGACATTCTAGTGTTCGTAATTAAAAATAATCGTATTTTGCCAATCTTCACTGTCAATAATAATGACAATCTGCCATTTTTTACGTACTCATAGATTTTAATAAGTGTATTAAATGTATGTGTAATTACTTTTTTGGTTTTATTGATTTATCAATATGAATGCTGCTGCATCGTTATGTAATATGGGTAAGTAATGAAAATATTTATGCCTACGCCATATAATTAAGTAGAACCTACCTATTCTTTATTTGGCAATAATGCAAGAAAATTAATGGCATAATACAGTATTTGACATAAGGCCAGTGTATGCCCCTGTCTTGGTGGCCTCTCTAATCATACGATGGACATTTGGGTAGCATACCCAAATGTCCTCAACCTATTAAAGATGAAGTCTGAAGTCTTAGTCCTGTTATTTCACTTGAGACTTACAGTATCATACACCCTTTATAAATTTTCCGAGCTTCTCCAATTCAAACAGGCTAGATACAAGAGCAACCAATTGAAATCAATAACTTTTACTGTCCCAACGCCAAATAAATTCCCGGGCGCTGGCGAAGTCGCATGTGTTGACCACATCTATCACGGACCCGGCACCCGCATGGTAAATCCATGGAACGCTAAGAAATAAGTTTCCTTTGCTGTTAAGTCAAAATAAACTGGCTTGACTGAACTGTCAACATTGGATATAAATCATTAAGAGAGAGAAAGATGAATTAAGTATAGTTTTAAAAACAATTCAGAGTAAGGGTTGAGGATTTGTACTGAATACTAAATAACACAAAAATATTTATAGTAATTGGTTTATATTTATAAATTTTGGTCCACAAGACTCTCTTGCCACCATAATTTTGTACTTAACCTATACTTAAAACTAGGTAAAACTGTCAAACACGTTGAACCCACCTGGTTTTATTTAGCAGTTATAATAACTTTTTGTAGTTAAAACATTTGTTATAACGAATTGTAGTACATAAACAAAAATGGTCCAGTATTTTTTTTTATGCAAAGTAAAAGACAAACAATCTGCACCAGGTAGGAATGTTGAAAAAATTCATACAGGTATTTAGACAATGGATAATGCATATTCAACTTAAAATGATGTTTTATGGAAGTATTAACTACAAAGCTATTAAAAAAATTAATTTGAATGATACTTAATCTAAAGTGGATGTCCGAGCAATTTCATCTCACTTCTTACTTCATCGTATAAGTCTTTATAGTCATCATGTTGTTTTACTAGCACCATAATACACCCTCTCATGGTGCCCATAGCAGCTCCAATGTCTTTGCGGCTTGGTGTGTAGCAGTACGGAACATCTTTCTCTTCGCACACAGCTGGTAAGTGGCACATGATTTCAATGGGGGAGATGTCACCGGCAAAAAATACGAGTCTGAAACACGGAATAATTTTGTTAAAGATATTTATTGCTGTGGTACACATGTACATGTATCACTAGTAGTCGTGACAATTTTTCTAGACAGGACTTTGTAATCAAATTAATTAACTATATATTATTCCTAAATACATATTTAAAATAATATGTATGCCGTGTCACCACCCATATTCATCCCGTGTATGTTGTAAGAGTCGACTTAGGGTGCAAACTATGCAGGACAACAGCACTGCAGAGAGAATAACTTGACACAAACGTTATGCCAACTCGTCTGGCCAGCGTGGTATAGTAGGCCAAAACCTCCTTTCTAAGGAGAGGCCCATGTCCAGCAGTGGACTATTAAAGGCATGATGATGATGATGTATGGGCTAAGGGAACTAAGTAGAATTGAACCACAGAATAAATAGACATGAATTTAATATGTAAATATCATCATTTAATTTGAAAAAGTGTAACAATAGTTGTGGCAGTATTTACACATTCTTTACAAGTAATGATAATAATAAAAAGACTAAAAGCAGTGGGTTGTAAGAGTCTGTTATTATGATGATAGAAACACAGGTATTGCAAATTTATAGATTGGATATATGCTAAGAGGGAAGTAAAATTGGAGTAAAAAATTTACGGAGATGGTAAACAAAATAGAGGTCACTGAATATAAGGGATGAACTAGTAAAAGTGGCAGGAACAATACGAGTATAGTGGCCTTTAACAGATTACATTGGAAACTATTTCAAGGATCCCTATGTTGAAAAATAAACAGACCTAATGAAATAATTAACTTCTAAAAACTATAGATGTAGAAATAGTTGATCAAAGTGGTTTTAATTAATATTATTATACTCTATGTAAGGTAATAGATTACTATAGTGGAGTTCTAAGTCAGTATTAGATTTTTTTTTAAATTGAATTGCGAAAATACAGAATGAACTATGTTTTTAATTCAAAGTGAATTTTAATAAATATTTTAATTGTACTAAAGTCTAAAAAAGTAGTTAGAACTGAAATATCATAGAGTATGGTGTTAGTTGTTGCTACTAAGGTTTTAAGACATGGTTTTAGCAAAGAATGTCAACAAAACCGTCATATAAATGTACTAGTTTATCTTTTACAGAAGCATTACTTTTTTAACAACAATAGATAATTTCCTTAAAATTAGCCACTTTATGAGGGCATGAAGCGGTAGGATACATAACCTCAAAATATATATTATCTAGATACACTTACCCTTTTTCACCTAATCGTAACTGCTTCTGTACGATTTTTAAGCCGTTTCTAATATAGTTTTTGTGGGAACTTGACTTCTTTATTAGTTTGTAAATCTTTTTGCTAAGTTTTTTCGGCGCCATAGGCTTTGCAATCACGGCGCAATGTTCAACTTTTTCATCATAACCCTGTGGCTCGGTTTTCATTGAAACGTCTGCTACGTCTTGCTCATCTTGTTCAACGGGCTCCTTTTTTACTTTACCCATTGTTATACTTCAAGAAAATATAGTTTAAGTTAAACACGTGCGTACGGCAAACAAGCACAACAACGTGCGACACGGATAGAATTATGACAAGTGCTCGTTCTGGTGTTGCTGAGAGAAAAAAATTGGCATGCTAAATCATCTGCCAAATATTTTTACCATATAAAACTATAATGAAAAGAACTACTTTAATTATATACTAAAGTTATTACCAATTGAGTACCATATTTCAATAAGTATTAAGATATATTATGTTTAATGTTTCATTGATTTCAGGCGTAAATTTTCTGAACGTAATTTTACATTTCGTTTTACGTAACTGTCTACCGTCTACAAACGATAGTTAGTGGCAGGAAAACAATTTTATGTAGAACGAACTGTATTGCACCGGTTGCTATGGAAACGGCTACATGTCAACAATACTTAGATCCACGCAAGTCGCCAGATATTCATTAAATTACTATGAAATAACATCATTTAATAATTATAACAAGCACCATAATAATAATTATTACAAATACTATTTAAACTGCCAGATATTTTCATGATGGTATTTGTTCAAAATAACTTTAGGACTGTTTAAATTAGTGCGAATTTTCGAACTTACTTTGTATATAAATTTCAGGGCCTATTGAATATTTTGAAAAAGTTGCGTTCAAATCCAGAGAAGGAATTGCGATTACTATTGCTTGGCCTTGACAATGCTGGTAAAACGACACTTCTGAAGCAGTTAGCATCTGAAGACGTGAATCAGGTTACTCCTACTGCTGGGTTTAATATAAAATCAGTTTTATCAAATGGTTTTAAGCTGAATGTGTGGGATATCGGCGGCCAGAGAAAGATCAGGCCATACTGGAGGAATTATTTTGAGAATACTGATATATTGGTATGTCGATAACTAGTTGAATACTGACTACTGTACTTTTAAACTTGTATTTATACAAAACTTCAGATGACTTAAAAAAAAAATAGAATTTCAATTCAAAATCAATATTTATCAGCAATTGGTTACCATTGCATACACTTTGTATAGTTTAGTGTTTAAAGTTTTTCATGGACAGTTGTGAAAGACCTAACATATGTGTTACCATATCTTCAGATTTATGTGGTAGACTGTTCTGATCATCAACGACTGGAGGAGACTAGCCACGAGTTAGCAGAATTGCTTGAAGATGAAAAGCTTCGTGGGGTACCTATGCTGGTGTATGCTAACAAGCAAGATTTAGCTACTGGTAGGTTACTTCTAGAAGAATTAGATAATACAAGTAATATTCTTCCTTTTTAATGATGTGTAAAGACATGACGGGGCTGTTGGTCTAATGGTTAGTAACCTGACTGCTAAGCTGGAGGTTGTGGGTTTGATTCCCACTCAAGACCCTTGCAGACCCATTGTAAGAAAACACCATGTAATTTTAGTTAGTTGTATCCCAACATTCTATTCCATGGTTAATCCTGGTATGGAGATAAACATGGTTTCTTACACTAAAAAATATTTTTATTTGTAAGATATTAAGTATTACATGACGCGCCTGTTGGTTTAGTGGTTAGAGATCTTGACTGCTGAGCCGGAGGTTCGATTCCCGCCCGGGACAATTATCGTGTGCCCAGGACAATTATTGTGTGATGAGGATGATCATTTTTCGGTCCAAATGTGTGTATGTTCGGAGTTTGGGGTGTTTTCTATGTATAATGTATGTACTATATATAATGTATGTATGTATTTACACAAAAATATATAAGTATTCTATCAGTCAATCTGGCGTTGTGTATCGGATGTCGGAAACATTATTATTGTTATTTCTTCTGTGACTAGGTGTTACTTATCTGTAACATGTATGTATTTAGAAATATGGATCGACAGTGTAGTTGTTTAAGCAGTCACCTCGCCGCTTCCTACTGCGCTGAGTGTTGTGGGTTCGCTCTCCACATGCGACAACACTTTCTGTGATCCACAAGTTGTCCTTTGTGTCCGTTTCATTAATGTGTGTAAAGTCTCCCGCGACACAGGATATATTCCTATTGCGGGAGTTGTCTTTTTAAAGAACAATTTTTTTTGTATATTTTAGTATGTTTCTCAGCAGTGTGGTTACCATAATACAGGCTCTGCCTAGTTTGGGGTGAGGCGGCCGTGTGTATACTATTATTATTATTAAAAAAGTAAGTTTATGTAGGTAATTAATAAATCGCCCATGTTACAGCTCTGCCGTCAAGTGAAATAGCAACCCACTTAGGCTTGCATCTGATAAGAGATCGCACCTGGCAAATACAGGCGTGCGTGGCGACAGACGGAACTGGAGTGAAGGTTAGTAGAATAATGATAAAATTTACCAGCACAAACCCAGTTTCAGTGAGCGGTTAAGTGGTAACCGTCTGGGATAGCATTACAAAGTTCAGGTCAGTCTTTGGATGAGTGACCATTCTTAACATATTGAGACCCCTCCATGCCTCGGAGAGTACTTGAAGCCGTCGGACCCGGTTGCGATATGAACATCTGTGGCAATCGTTATGCGTAGTTAGATCCTTAAAAGTCATAACAGAAATTCTATAGTGACAAGACTTCCCTCCATGACTTAGTTAGCCTGGTATTTGGATTGTGTCTTGTCATAGCACCACACCATCTTGTTGCTATAGAAATTCATTTAAGTGTTGATCATTCATCATTATGGTCACCAATAGCCCTTGCATAGTAGTCCAGGAAGGAGGTTTTTGACTACTATGCCATGCTGGCCTGGTTAGTTTCAAGTTTTCATTCTCTGTGCAGTGCTGTTGTCCTGCGTAGTTTGCTACCTTAGTCGGCTCTTACGACACCCACGGGATGAATAGGGGTGGTGACACTCTGTATTCTTAATCCGTCACCACACACGGATAATCATTTAAACATAACCACACTGATAATCATTTAAAAAATTTATTTTTCTTACAAACAGTAAATTTTCTATGGTGTAGGAGTAAACAGATAGGCGTGTCACCTGATGGTAAGTGACTACCGCAGCTCATAGACATATGCAACTCAAGAGTACCCCCAATTTTCGCCATTGAGTACTCCCCATTTATATAAGCTTTAGGTAAATACATAAGTATGTAACCAATATGCCAAATTAAGAAAAAGATTTTCGAGTGTTATTCGTCTTTTATTTCTTAATTTAATTTATTTTTAGATCCATACTTATGGAAGTTTGGACTTTATATTATAAACCAGCTGACCCGCGCAACTTCGTCTGTGTCTCTCAATAGTAATAAATTTTCTCCGTTTTTGAAACATTCTTCATTGGTGCTCCGCTCCTATTGGTCTTAGCGTGATGATATATAGCCTATAGCCGATAAATGGGCTATCTAACACTGAAAACAATTTTCAAATCGGACCAGTAGTTCCTGAGATTAGCGCGTTCAAACAAACAAATCTTCAGCTTTATAATATTAGTATAGATGTGAGTGGGTTTTGTTTGTTCGTCACGCTTAAACCAGTTTTAAATATTATTTCACTAATGGATAGTTATATTATCATCATAAATATCTTTAACTTTAAACATTACATATATCACATTATTAAATATATCACATATATACGTTATATATCTTAATGCGTTATTCTGAGCGGGAAGAATTGGTTTTAAAATATAATTTTATACTGCATGGAGGAATTCTTTGAGGAAGGAACGAGCCATCTGCTCATCATTAATAGGCCATAACATTACTTAAGGAAGGAGCTATATTATATTAGCTACATTTTATGTGTCCTATCGAGAATTATGTAACTTACTCATTCTTTTTCATGTTACTTAGGGAACCAGACCAATTTTTACCCCCCTTTTGCACGATTAAGGTTATAGCTCCTTATAACCATCTGGCACCCGGCCAACACCGCCTCGCATCGCCTCGAGCGGTTAGTATTCTTTGTATGAAGTACTAAGGGTAAACGCCGGAGCACCTCGCCTGAGTGGGCCTCTAGGTGACTGGGCGCTGTCCGCTAGATGTTGCAGCGGCACAGCGCTCCCTCTCGAACGTGTCTGTCCTATCGTTTTCTGGGTAACAACGCGGCGGCCACCCGTTGACCAGCCGTCGCCAACGAGTGGAGACACCGAGGCGAAGTAGACCTGGGCCTCAATTTTGCTGTTTTATGTTAACGCCAAGCCACTGTTATTCTATTGACCCGCTATTGAGATGCCATTGAAACGTCATTGACATCGGTCAAAATATCAGTATTCTATTCACATAAATTCACAGTGTCAATAGACTGTCGATATAGTATTATAGGTCGTCAATGGTGATATCAACAACATTGCCGTACCTGGCAAATTAAATATATCATTTTCTTACATATTTAAAATGTACCGTTTACAAAGACATCGACGACATTTGTATCAGTGACAAGTCATCGGGAGGCCATTGCTCTTACATAGTTAGTAGAATAGGAAAAGTGCAAAACTATTGCGACGACATTCCATCGACAGTCTATTGATACAATATTAAGATAGCAGAATTGAGGCCCTGGTTGGGTGTCGGGTGGGTGTAATGAGTTATGATCTCTTTATTGGTTCTGTGTATGGTGTAATAAATCTATATTATTAAATATATATAAGTATGTCGGTAGTTAGTGTCTAGAAGACCGGAGCGAATACCACGGCCTCACAGATATTAAGTCATTCATTCGTTCCTTTTCACCGAGTGAGTGAAGTTACAGAAGGAGAACTTCCCCTCCCTATTTCTTGGGCTCTAAGGGCGGTACATGTTATTTTTGAGTTGTAGGTGTCCATAGTCAGTGGTAGTCACTTATCATAAGGTGAAGCGTCTTCTCATTTGGATATTATGCCATAAAAAACGTAGTTCAAAGTGGACACATGGAGAACATGACCTGTGGACACTCGTTTGTCCTGTTTTGGGCAATGCCACTAGGATATTGTAATCAACTGGCTATTTCCCGTCACCTTGTAGTTAACACTCCTGAATGCTAACCCAAAGGTAGTTGGTTCGATTCCCAGCCAGGACGAACATTTGTGTGATGTGTACGATCATTTGTTTTACGTCTGATTGTTTATTTACTTATTCTTTATAAGTAATACATTTAACTAGCTGCGCCCTGCGGTGTTACTGGTTTATCATGTACACTAAAACGTGTATTCTCTGTGATACTTCAGAATTATTTGCTTGGGAATTATTTTGGGCTTCAGCTGAAAATCAGCGCTGTGGCCACTTTAGGGACTATAGCAACAGTTGAGTTAATTGTTTTTTTTTGGTTGTGTGTGTATTTTCTTTCTTTCTTATCCCACGAAAACACTACATTGTTTCGGAGTAAAAAGTAGCCTATGTATAAATCCAGGATGTCCGCTACCCCATACCAAATTTTATAAAAATTAATGCACACAGTTGAGCGTAGAGAAGTAACAAATAAACTTTTCTGTCTTTATAATATTAGTGTAAAGTGTGACTAGGGTGATATGATTACGTAGGTATGTGTTTAGAAATACTCGTATATAAGTATGTCTGTCATAGATATAGCAATTACTGATACTTTTAAATCAAAATCATACCATGAATTAATGGTTTTGGTCACTGCGATTTTACCTGTGCTAAATCATTACCTAAATTTGTCATAGACAAAGATAAATACCATCAAAGTCAATCAAACTGACTCAGTATCTATACTAATATTATAAAGCTGAAGAGTTTGTTTGTTTGTTTGAACGCGCTAATCTCAGGAACTACTGGTCCTATTTGAAAAATTCTTTCAGTGTTAGATAGCCCATTTATCGAGGAAATCTATAGGCTATATATCATCACGCTAAGACTAATAGGAGCGGAGCACCAATGAAAAATGTTTCAAAAACGGAGAAAATTTATTACTATTGAGAGACGCAGACGAAGTTGCGCGGGTCAGCTAGTGTCTATATAATATGTTAAGTCGCAGTGATGTTGTAGATGAGTCACAGGTGTAATGAAATGATTTTATATCATATGATTAATCACAGCTGATAGTAATTTTATCTCATACCTATCTATCAGCACTCTAATATTACCGCCGTGTGTAATGTCTACCACACAACGCCACCTAGTTTCAAAACTCAGCAGAGCTAGTTCTATGAAAGCTAGATTGACTGATAAAATACCTACTTATATACTTTTTTTTCTAAATACATACATATTATACACTAGCTGAGACCCGCGGTGTTACCCGCGTTTGTTGTTATAATCGTGGGGCGAAGCTAGTCAAAAAAAGTAGCCTAAGTTACTCCTTATGTCATCAGCTATCTGCCAGTGAAATTCCCGTCGAAATCGGTCCAGCCGTTCCAGAGATTACCCGGAACAAACAGACAGACAGACAGACAAAAATTGTAAAAAATGTTAGTTTGGCATATGTACCGTGTAAACATACATATGCATTTAGTAAAAAGCGGTTATTTTAATATTACAAACAGACACCACTTTTATTTATTTGTATAAATAGAAAACACCCAAACTCCGAAGCCTCAGGTCGAATCCGAGACCTCAGGTCAGCACAGCAGTCGCATACGCTACCACTGCACCACCTAGGCAGTCAAGTTATTATTGTTAATGTTGATGCTTTCTTTTTTTATTCCAGGAAGGCATGGAGTGGGTCTGCAAAAATATTCCAACTAAAAAATAATTAATTATGTTAGTTGTAAATGTGTTACGCTTAGATATTGTTAGACTCCATCATTATCCACTATTATGATGGACTCCTTAGATCTTATTGATGATAATCACATCACGAATCAAGAAAATAATATTTCGTTTATATTAATTAATATAGATTTAATTTTAATAGTTTGACTTATAATTATTATCTTACTAGTCAAAATATTTATATCCGTCCAAAGAAGACTTTTCTTAGCTAAACTATTTTTACATGATGTTAAAATAAATAGCACATAGAAATTATTTTATTACAAATGTAAAGTTTTTTTTTTTCGTAAGGTTCGTAAACGAATTTATTATGATACTCGATTCAAGTTCCTTAGTCGAATCATGTACGCCACTATGTCTGTTAGGTAACATACCTTTTATCGACTAATTTAGTATCATGACTACTAAAAACAACACGTAAATTTAAATTTATTAAACTCTTTACTTAACGATATTTATCACGCAGTTACTGCATAGTAAAAAAGTACATTTATAATATAACTACACAAGTATCTTAGTACCTACATTATGCCTTTAACATCACCGGGGCCAAAATGTAGTATGTAAAATCACACAGTATTTCGTCACTGGGGCATCAGGTGAATTCTAGAAAGCATATTCCTTTGTACCCCTGGCAGACTCGTCCTGCATTTTTCATGTTTTTTTTCATTTATTTTATATTTTTACATATTACTTCATTCTCTGTTAGGACATTAGGAGCTACTTACGTAAAAGGGAATACACACGTAAGCCACTCATGGTTTTAAGAAAATATTTTTATTGTGCAAATTTTGAATACAATAAAATGTTATTTTGGAAATAGTAAATTTAAATATCATGTTAAATATTTTCATCGCTGAAATGATTTTATAATATAATTACTAAGAAACATAGTATAATACATTAATCTTACTTTTTTGTCTTTATTTACGGAGCTTAGCCACAATGATGACTACGTCGCTCCATCATAGCCATTTTTTGTTTTAAACTTAAATATTGAAAATACAAAGTATAAATATCCTTAGCTGTATCTGTCAAAGGACTGGCCAGGATGCTGTTACATCTTCCAATGTCCATCAACTTATCATTAAGCAGGCGTTCTCTATAATCTTACTTTATTGATTAAAATTGTCACATCATTGTGACATTTATATTTTGGATAGAAGCTGCATTTTGAAAGCCCTCTATACACAACTAAATTTTGACATGTTTGTGGATTAGTGTTTGTTTGCATAAGAAGGTTCATTTGTGTATTGACAGGTAGGCACCCTAAATGTGTTATATAGTGTTAATCTTTAGGTAATGTTAATAGTACGAATTAGTTTTAATTTGTAAATTAGTAATTTTTTGTTTGTTAATAAATAGTAATGAAACAGTCAAAACCTACGTAAGTACATATTGTACAAATGGTTATCCCTTTAATTCTAAACCTAGTCATTGTATAAACATTATTTACCCACTTACTAATTTATTCAGTTAGTTGTAATTTTAGTCGATGTCACTAGTCGATTTAAACTAAATGTTACGTCATTGTGTATGTCATCTATTTTTTATTGTTTCATTAAATAATGTTTGTGTTTAATTGTTTTGTTCTAATAATATTATATCTTACCTTCCAAATAAATAAACAACGGGATTTTCAGTCAAGATTTTTATTTCACTGAAACCAAAGCGTTTACATTACTTATACAATTTGAATGTCCACAGAAGTTAAAAGAAATTAGGTATAGAACAATTATGAACTTTGAATGTTTTCTGTAAAGATTTGTTATTTTTTGAAATGGAGTAACCAATAATTCACAACATGACTTTTATTACAGCTCATTTACATCAGTCTGTTATAAATGTAAATAAAAGTTATCTTAAAAGAGTAGGTAAGTATAATATTACAATAAGTGCAAGTACAGTAAGAATGCATACTAGTTTTTTTATGTACTTACCTACTATTTTAAAATAATTTTCCTTTATATTTTTATTACTATTTACTTTTTTTATGGTATAAGGAGAGCAAACGAGCAGACGGGTCACCTGATGGTAAGCAACTACCGACGCCCATGGACACCTGCAACTCAAAGGCAAAAGTGCGTTGCTGCCCTTGGAGTCCAACCCGCTCGAGTCAGCGGAAGGAACTCCAAGAGCAACAACGTTTACTCGGACCTTTTTACTATATTGTCATCTGTGGGGTCAATATATTTCTTGATCATAAAGAACGAGTCAGTAGATAAAATCAAATATAGATACATGTTCCGAAATAAAAAACGGCGTGAGGGGTCTATGGACCCTGGTCGGAACGACGTTCCTTTCGCTTTTTGGGAGACGTTTGCTTTAAATTTAAAGTGTCGCTGCCATTCACTAAGACCGTGTAACGCGCGATAAGGAACTTCGTTCCAAAGTCACGTCAAACAGTAACAATATACACAATGTTTTTTTCAAGGTAGATACGTTATATTCATACTGCACGCACAAAATATTTGTCCCGTAACCGTTCATACATCTGCATTTTAGAACAAAACATACACTTGCCTGTGGAATGATATTCCTTTATATTTATTTGCCTTTTTGTCGTAATTTGTGCAGTTTCGGAATACACAGGAAGGCATTTTATGATTTTACCCGAATTAATTAGTACGTGCGCCCGCTCGCAGTGGTCCTAATTAGGTACAAACTTAACGTTCCTAAGTACGTACGTAGTAATTTTTTTCTACTACTGTCACCTGATGGTAAGTGATAATCGTCGCCAATAGACACTCAAGTGTGTAGGCCCCCCTCACAAGAATTGGGGGGTTAGTCTTTAGGTTTCTATTGTACCTGGTATCTATTTGGTTACTACTGGTGTAGAAATATAGATCGAATTTTTAAATTATACCAAAACAAAGTGTGAAGAAAAGTTTAAAAAAAGAATTTAAACTAGAAAAAACCTTTTATGTACTACCGATGGTTTATTATTTAATTACTTAAATACCTATGTATAGTACCTATAGCTATCTGCTATCATAGATAAACATGAAACAAGGATTCATTACGTTTTTATTTTCTAGCACCATAATGTCCAGCAAAAATAATCTTATTCATATAATTAATTTATAAATTTGTTAGAAACTATAGATTATATATTACTTAAGTACAGAATCTACGAATTAAAAATAATAGTGACCATAAATTACTTATTCCACCTCATTCTTAGTATTCATTTACCTTAATTCTTATTTACTAAGCATGATATAAATTTATTTAATACCATTTTGCGTAAATTACAATATAATCATGTTAAAATTATTAAAAAATATATATAAAACAACAGTATGTATACAACATTTTGCTATTAAAATATAATATTTTATCACGATGCATTGTTACAATTATAAAGTAACAATATTTGATTTAAGTACTTAAACTCAAATTAATTCTATCAATAACCAAATCAAGTAAAACGTCTGGGGAATAGACAAACAATTGTTTTACGCCATTATATTATAAATGCAATAATATTAGTGCCTAAATAATGAATGAATGAATGGAGAATGAATGAATGAAGAATGAATAAATGAAGAATGAATTTTGTTTGAGATGATATTAATTACGTGGTGTTCTGTAATGAAAAAAGATTTGTGAAATGTAAAATATGTGGTTATGAAATGAAATATTAAATATAGTTTATATTTAGGTGTTCAATGATTTTAAAAAGTTGTGTACATGACCGCGACAATGATGCATCGGCCATTTTTGCGATCAGTGCATTGCCCTCTTCAAATTAGTTTTAGCGGCTTTCAATATAACTAAATTAAATATAACTACTGACTACAACTGTAATCTCAGTGCACCTACGAGTGTCCTATTAGATTTCTACGCAACCCAAAGGTTGGCTGGTAGAGAATGCCCAGGGCATTAAGTAAACACCGCCGATGTACACAATGGCATAAAATTATAAATAAATAAATACCTAAATGTGTTTGACCATAAAACTGTTATGACGATTAATTTTAATGTAGATATTTATGATGAAAAGATGAGTAATCAGTAAAGGTCCGAAAAATGAATTTCATGATTATAAATAGTTAATATGAACGGAAATGATCGACGCATGAAATAGAATTTAAAAAGTATCTAACACAGTTATAATAATTATATAAAACAGAAGCAGATTTAACAGTGAATGGTTGGTAATGCATTTTATAATTCGCTATGGTACACCTCTGTTGTTACTTTCATTTCGTGTTCATGGAACGCAGAACAATCGGCTGGGTATGCGGCCTGAAAAACAAAAAATTAATTTAAAAAAAAAACAAATAGGTACTCAAAATTACGAGTAAATAATAGTAAAGTAATTATTAGTTTTCTAGCGTACGGGAATATTTATCTACAACATTTGAATAAATTTTCGTAAATATGGCGCCAAAATACGCGTCTCACCACAGTCATCATGATGTGTTTATGATTAGCCATGTTTCAACGGAACGTAGCTGATACGAGCGTGCATAAGTAAGAATTAGATTTGATGTACCGACTACTTACCATATGTCTCTTGTAACAAGTTTTATGTTCCAATTGTTTAGAACGAACTTATTTGAAGTAATTAATATATTGAAAAAGTACAATATTTTTTATCTATTTTATGTTGCAAGTTGAAATAGCACATTCAGATAAATTGTTATTTTATAAACTAATACTTAGTCGTTTCCCACTCTTTTGCTCAGTTATCGTGATTGATGAAGTTTTAAGGCTGATAATGTAATGTTTCATAGCCTTATAAAACCTTCTTAAATGAATACTCTTTCTGTCAAGAATAGTTTTCAAATCCGAATAGTGATTTGTGAGGTTAGCGTGTTTAAACCAATTAACATTAACATTAATACTGCGGCTTGTTACCAATATAAAATGATATGACTGATGAGGTCATGGATTCGATTCCCATAAAGACAAATAATTGTGTTATGAGGAAGATCATTTTTTCTGTGTTTAGGTGTAGTGTATATATGTTTAGAAATATATAAAAGTCCTATAACGCACGCACTGCCTAATTTGGAATTAGACGGCCCAACTATCTCACCTCGCAATTGACGTCATTCTGGATAGCACTGTACAGATCTAAGAATCCTCCACCGTTCTGGAAGCCAAGGGCTGCTGACGCGATCAAGCTGCTCAGTTTCGTCAGACCAGCTTTAAAGCCTGGAAGACCTGGAAAAGCAAATATTAAGATTAAATTTAGCGCCTACCATAAAACTGTGTATAAGGTGATCAGCATCACCAATATCATCATCAGCCTTTCATTGTTAACTGCTGGACATACACATATTCTAATGCACGGCGCTAAGCTCGATTATCAGCTCTCGGCAGCCAGTTTTCCCCAGATTATTTACTCACATCCTTACTCTGTCTAACCGCACAGTTAACTACGTTTAGCTAGATGTGGACACCAGAACTTTACTACCCCAGTGGTTATAGGTTCTGCAGGTCTTTGTGTCCAGCACATCAGCTTGCTAATTCTTTAAGCTCAAATAAATATAGTTTCAGACAAATGATAACAAAATAGAAATATGTCTGTTTGTTTAAGAAAAGATTATCACAATACTATGCCTACCGATTTTACTAGTGTCTAGAAGTTCAGCTCATAATATAAGTAATATATAATATACAATATATAAATCATATTATAAATAACAATTATTTTCATTGCAAAAGAGCAACACAGCCCGTGTTTCTCATAAGAGAACACAACATCAACATCATCAACACATAAAATACTTATTAAAGGGCTGCAAAGCACTTGCAACTCTAAAGTCACAAGTGCTTTGCTTTACGTTACTTTTGAGCTTTCCCCCCAGAATACGTAGGAAGGAAGGAGCGGGTGTAGGCCTCCAGGAACCAGACTCATTAGGTGGAAAGCTATGACAGAAATGCTTACACCAGTTTTCTGTTAAGCCGTGATTTTTGAAAGTGCTGGAGTTGTATAAAATTGATACAACTCTGTACACTTTCTTGGAGTTTTGTATGGGGCAATGGAGAACAGCACTTCGCTATCCAGGATGTGTGCAGATTGCGGTAAACGTTGTACGAATAAAGATCGAGCGGGGTGTATTTCAATGTGATACTTGACCCGTATGTGCCGTACATGGCTCTCCTACAAAATCGGACCAGCATAGATATCATCATCAACAGCCCCTAACAGTCCACTGCTGGATATAGGCTTCTCCTTGCAATGGAGGTTTTGGCCTACTATACCACGCTGGCCAGACGGGTTGGTATACTGTTTGTTTCAAGCTTTCCTTCTTTTTGCAGTGCTGTTGCCTTACAGAGTTTGCTCCCTTAGTCGACTCTTACGACACCCAAGGGATGAATAGATTTGGTAATACTCTGTATTCTTAATCCGTCACCTCAGAAGAATACTAAGAAGATATACTTAGAAATTAATATATTGCTACATACCCTTCTGGTCTTTATCATGGTGCCTGTTAACCAGGCACATCAAGTGCTCCTGGCACTGAGGTGCCTTAACTGAATGTTGGTATGCTCTATACACCCTGAGGATGGGCTCAATGACTTCCAGATTTAGGGTGTCTGTTAGTCTGTCAGCGATGGCGTTGTAGTCTCCTCGTGAGGACATGGTTTTTGTTGTAGTCTCAGCCATTTTGAGGGTTTCCTGCGGAGGAAAAAATGCAGGTTTTAAAATCTAATAACCTTAAACAATCACTTACCATAAAGCACATGCAGCTTTTTATTTGGTGAGGTTATGTAAAGAAGGCTTAAGAACTTTGATAGCGCCATGCAGGATCAATAGTCAGTTACTACAGCTTATCAGTCGCCAGACGACACTGACTACGCTAATTTATAGAACACGCAAGCTACACACGCCTAAATCAAGCGGCGATATAATTTTAGGCATTATTTTAGTTGAAACAAGTTATGTAACGGTCTTCTAGAAATTGTTTTTAAGTTAATCACAATTTTTTTATAACAATCAACTCCAAGCCCCTTTATTACATACCGCAACCGTTTCTTAATACGAATATTGACGTTATAACATGTAGGAAAATAATCCTTCCCTGTTCAAGCTGTTATCTTTTGGAATACACTCCCACTAGAAATCAGGATATCCACTTTTAAGTTAAAAGTACGGAAGCTCCATAGAGACTTGTTGACGGAGTCATCAGAATAACACTTTAAGAGTATATTATTTTATATATTATATTTTGATATTTTTTGTATGTATACCTACCTAGTACCTGTATATTATTAGGATTTTTTCTCCTTTTGTAACATGCTTTAATTGAAATAATAAAATATACACCTACCACAGACAGCTTTGCAACACTCAAAGTTTTGACTGGAAGATAACGCTTGTGGCATTAAGTCCGTCTTATGCAATATGTTTGCAGAAAGTCTCAATAAATAAATAAAATTTTAAATATATGAGTAGGATTATCAGCAGTCTGGTTACCATAGACAGGCTCTGCCTAGTTTGGGATCAGACGGCCGTGTGTGAGATGTGTGAGTTTATTATTATTATTTCCTTACTTTTACATATTCAACCGCAGGTTTCACATATTCGCCGACATCCGAATCCATATACATATATTTCTTCAGCACGTAGTTTACGAGGGCTGTAAGGGACTTCTCCGGTTGTTTCACGTTGAAGTGAGCGCTCTTCGGCAAGCCTTGAGAGTCTAGGAAGCTGTTCGTGAGGAATTCTATCGAAACCAAGTATCTATAAGGAGAGAATTTAATAATATAGCTTGTATTTTATTTGTATTTGAATTGTTTTATATAATTATATTGCACCACTCGCACGCCATTGTTAAATCTAGTGCCACCTGTATTCTATGCGTAAAATATTAATTTCTTTCTTTCTCAAAGGGTGGCAAAGCTCTTGTGTCACTTGTATTCATAGGTATGTCTGCTAGTTTGCTCTTTTTACCATGAAAAAAAAATATCATTGGGTTCGGCGGCTGTAACACTGCGACGTGTTTTGACTGGATTCATCAGTATTAAATATTAAACCAATGTACTATTTTCATTCACAAGTTGTTTAACAATCAAAAGATAAGAATAAACACAATAAATCATGTTTATTTTGTATCGTTTATCTATATTTTCAATATTATCATTATCTCGATTATGATTATTATGATTAACAAACATTTATCAATGTCATTACAAAGCTTCAAGTGTATAAAATTAGTTATAAAAATGTATTATGTATCTCCTTTTATCTATATCTCGTATCTTTTAATTTGATATGTTTCTAGGTTTAGCCAAAATATCGAGTGATAACATAATACCTAAAAAATACCCGAAGGATATTAAAAATACAATTATGAAAGCCAAATTCTTTTCGTTTTATATAAGAAAAAACAGCTCTAGGAATATATCCTGCTTCACAGGGGACTTTAAAAACATTCATGAAACGGACAAAAAGAAAGACTCAGAACTTGTCCCACGTGGGTATCGGACCCACAACACTCATCGTAGTAGCAAACGGTGAGATCACAATGGATTTAGTCCACTATGCCATCCGTGCAGTCAAAACCATGGATAAGGGAGTTACAGTAAGAGACACTAAAACTAACTTTGTTTTTCTTGGAAACTTTTTGGTGGGTCCCCCGACAAAGATCTGATGACTAGATTAGGTTGGCAAAAGAATCGAACAAATGTTATGGCACTCCAAACATCAAGACTCTTATAAGATAAATACCCTATGTAAATAAAAATATGTACCTGTTGTATACTTCAGGTTTCGCCACGTGCATCACCAAAGTAGTCAAATATGTTGCCGCTGTCTTGATCCAGTGCCTCCTGAACGAATGGTTTTCAAAGTTCTTGAACATAGTCGAGAAACTCAATTTTCCATCAGGACCTGTGAACGCTTTGAACACTTTCTGCAACCCTGATTTCTGCCAAAAAGTTTTTCCCAACTCAGAGTTAATGAAAATATCCCAGTATAAATGTGCTTTCTCTAAAAATGGAGGCAGAAATGAAGAATGGTCTTTATGTTCATCAGCGCGTTTTTCAGCTTCTGCGTTTAAACTGTTCATTATTAATGGTAAGTATGATGACAAGCCGCCACCGTTGTTTTTGTTGCCAAGAAGACCTGAAGCCAGATTTAACATGCCCTCTAAATCGAAGTCGCCTTCCTTTTCTTCTCTCTTCTGACGTTTTGGCTTCTCTGTTGTTGTCATTTGTTGAGCAAACATTGATACCATGGAGCCGATGACAGCAGGATCGATTTTCCCGTCTTTTCCACCTAGCAAGCTGCCAATACCTGGAAATGAAGTCCAGTAATTAGTAAATTTTCGTTTTTAATGAACAGGCATATATAAAGTGAGGTTCAAACAATAAAGAACAAAATAATTAATCCACTGACTGTGGGGAAAATGGTATCTCGGTTTTCCTTAAGCAGATGGAACTCTTTTTTTTTCTGATAGAAGATACTCTGTACCTTGCATTGAAAGTAGAAAAGTTATGTTTCCGCGGACAGAAAAATATGACAAAATCTAGCTAGTATTAAATAAACAACAACATCCAAATCTTTAAAACACTAGTTTTATTACAAACATCAACAACTTAAAAGGAATTTAAATTTATTTTATCACTAATTAATTATGTAACCCAAAGAAAGTAAAAATCGCTATTACAATTAAAGCAGTACGAGTGTACACTAATTAATGCATTCGTGTTCTCTAGATATAAAAAGAAATGAAAACTTTCCCAACAAGAAATATATTTAAAATTTACTAGAAGACCAATTGAAAGGATATAGTTAAAATTTAGATAAAATTAAATACCTCTTGATGGTTAAAGATTTCCTTGAACAAAAAACCACTTACCCGAAAGAATTCCAGCAGCATTATCACCCCCATTTTGTCCGAAAGCAGCTCCTAAATTTTTCGCATTATCTCCTTGCATCAGACTGCCTACGATATTGCCAATAGCTGCTAACCCTTCCATCTTGGCGTCATTTCCCCCATCTCCACCGAGGCTTCCCAGGATCGACGATGCGAGATCCGCAAAAGGATTATCATCATCAGTTCTTGTAGCTAACGGTAGCGATATTAACAAGCTAACCGCAAGAAGGACGGTAACCTTCGCCATGCTCCTATGACCAAACGAAAAACATATAATAAGAATTTGTTATCTTTATCGCAATATATAAAACTATGTGTTTGAAAGTAATTGCTTTGTTTGATTTTTATATTCTTTGCTAACCTTCTGAATGCACATGCATATAAGGATGTTTATACCCATTTAAAACTTAAATATTTACATATTTTACCATGGTAGAACCCTGCTTCGACACGAATGATCACAGGAAACCGGTGCTGAGTAATTTTTTGGATTTGTTCTAATTAGTTCGACCCATCAGTTCGATCGTCGAACTTGTGAGAATATCTTTTCTCATTAGTTCGATGGTCAAACTAGTAAGAATTAAAAATGTCTCACTAGTTCTACTGCATTTAATTCGGACAATAACAACATTGCAAAGAGAAGGAAAACTTGACACAAACCCTATACCAACCCGTCTGGCCAGCGCGGTACAGTAGGCCAAACCTCTTCTCTAAGGAGAGGCCTATGTCCAGCAGTGGACTGTTAAAGGCTGTTGATGTTGATGATGACGATGATGATGATGATCTACATTACTAACTGTCTCTTAGTCTAAGAAGTTGATACTGGTAATACGTGATCCTCGTTCAAAAAAGGAAGGAGGTTATCAGTTTAACTGTATGTTTTTTTATGAATGTTTTCTCAAAACTCTTTCATTTGTGCGTTCGTTTGTTCACCTTGGAGAAGAACATAAAATACCACCTCCAGCGAGAAAATTAAGGAATCATGAATCGATGAAATCGGTTAGGTATACCCACTCTTTCTTCTCTTTCTAGTTAATTTATTTTTAAACACTTCCTATGCATTAATAATAATAATGTAGTCATTTATTTCCAACCTAAAATCATTGATATAGCATGTATTTTTAAACATAAATTAAACTCTCACATATTTTTACACATTAAAATAAATATTATAAAATTAAATTAATGAAATTAAATAAAAAATAAAAAATAAATTATATATATTATTAAAAAAATAAAAAATAATCCTAGATGAATTTATTGTCTTCAATCCCTTTGATCGGAACCCCTTCTCGGGCTTTTTCCCTGGACTTTCTATACATTATAAAACTTGTAAAGATTTTAAAATGGGAGTAATATACCCAAAACAAAAAACAATAATTCTGTAATCTTAACTTAATAAATATACTTTATTGTACCATTGAAAATAAAATAAAAATAATTATGTGTTTAAATCTTGTATCCTGATAAATGTTAAATTGAAATTACATACATATGTATTGTTTACGCAGCCGATGCGCGATGTTGGATTGAATTGTGTCGATCGTGCTCTCACCTAGTCTATTAGGACTTGTACAGAACATCTTGGAACGTAGTTGGAAGGTTATTTAATAATTAAGTGCGTCCTAGAAGCCGCGGTTTCAGCCGTGGTTTTTAACCAATTTCAAAATAAAAACCGGTCAAGTGCGAGTCGGACTCGCGCACCATGATCTATAGGGGATCCCCCCTTAGGGGAGCCCCCTTAAAAAAATATTTTATTCTGTTTTTAGTATTCGTTGTTATTGCGGCAACAGAAATACATCATCTGTGAAAATTGCAACTGTATATAATTTATATAAATTTTATTGATGGTATGTATATTAAAAGTAATATATGTTTCTTTATGAGTTCTAGCGAAATGATGAATAGATATTCTATAAACATTTTAACTATTAAATTTAATATTTACAAGCAAACAAATGATGTAAACGGGCATTGATGCGTTTTTTTATTAAAAGTTACAAATTGTCCCCACAATTACCTGTATTAATATTCTATAAGACGTTGTATACGCATAGGAGTAAGTGTATCATATAAAAAAATACGCTCCTTAACTTTGCACAAACTGACACAATGATGCTAATTCTGTTGATAGAAAACTCTCTAAACTAAACTAAAAATCACTAAAAAATAGTTTAATCCTGTCACGTACTACGTTTTCGAATCGTTGTTTGACAGGACTAAACTAATTTTTAGTGATTTTTAGTTTAGTTTAGAGAGCAATCGAACAACAGAATTCACACCATATCTAATTTGTTCAGTCTTCCAGAGTTATTGATTTGGACTTCCACATCAACAAGTTAGCTCTTAAAATAGAATATTCTTCTCCTCAAGGAGCCGTCCTGCTCAGAATAATAGATAACATATTAATAAACTTACCACAGACTTTTTCCGAAGTGAACTAAAGTTGTAAGATAGTTAGAAGTTATAAGTACATGTTTATCCAAGACTTCGTCAATAATTAGATTAATTACAATTACTATATTCTTAATTATATTTATTTTATGTTATATAGGTTATTTTTATATTATACTGTGTTATTATTTTCTTTTCTTTCTTTTTTTTTTAAAGACATCTCTCGCGTTACGAATATATCCTGTGGCGAAGCACAGGTGAAGAAGTACAGGTGTTTAATTGCAGTATCGATAAATGGAGAGATAAATAAGGCGATAGTAGAAATAAAATAGGTATCTAAACTAATATTTTAAAGCTGAGGAATTAGTTTGTTTGGTTGAACTCGCTAATCTCAAGAACTATTGGTTCGATTTTTTTTATATATAAAAAGACCATCATGTGTCTCAGGGGACTTTACAAACATACATGAAACGGACATAAAGAACACCCAGACTCAGAACAACAATTTGTGGATCACACAAAGTATCGTCCCATGTGGGGTTTGAAACCACAACACTCGGCTTAGCAGGAAACGGCGTGGCGACCGCTTAAACCACTACGCCATCCGTGCAGTAAATTTTACACTATGACTTTGTTTGTATACGGGAATTAACCTGGTCTGACTGCATAGTTAGAGGTCTTTAATTCTATTTGCACCCAGGACTATAGGTAATATGTATCTATTTAGAAATATATAAGAAGTATGGTTATCAGCAGTCTGGTTAACATAGCACTTGTGTATTCTAAACGACACCACTAAACCCACGACACGACACTTCTTAACGGCATATCATTATCATCATCAACAGTCCACTGCTGGACATAGGCCTCTCCTTAGAAAGGAGGTTTTGGCCTACTATACCACTCTGGCCCGACGGGTTGGTATAGGGTTTGTGTCAAGTTTTCCTTCTCTCTGCAGTGCTGTTGTCCTGCGTATTTCGCTCCCTTAGTCGCCTCTTACGACACCCACGGGATGAATAGGGGTGGTGACACTCTGTATTCTTAATCCGTCACCAAACGGATATATATTAAGATAAATGCATAAGTTTTGTGTTAGAACTTCATAACGGTTTTGTCAACACTGGTGTAACAAAAAAGAAATGTACACGACACCCCCCCAGTGGTGTAGTTCAGTGGTGTCGTTTACAACACTACCCATTTTGGCGGCAATTTGTAAAATATATCACGTTATTGAAAGTAGAAAAATGTAGTTTACAATTACTTTTTACAAATTAAATTCAGAAATTAGAATTTATAAAACTAAGTACTAAAAATATAGCTTCAATTATTAAATTGAATTAATATAAAACAAAAAACGCAGTAAGATGTTTTTATGTGCGACCCAAAAATTATGAATTTCGCTTCTCTTTTTTTGAACACGACAACGAAAGTAAAATCTCAATCTATGTAAATAATTTATATCATATTTTGCTCTTCTAAGAAATGCCCGTCTTTTTAGTTGAGAATTGTTTACTTTCTTTAGACCTAAAAACCAACTTTACCGTTTTCGTAGAACTCAGTGATATTTGAAACATTCATAAATATTTAATCTATTGTGGATACAACATAAAACACCATACCTAATACATTTTATAATTTTATCTAAACACGATCATGTCTTGTAATTGAAATAGACGATTTGGAAGTTTTTCGCCAAAATCTTTTTCCGTAAATTCTACCTGTTGCGTTAAGAAGCTCGAAGTATATATAAAAGAAGTTTATCCAGAATCCCTCAATCTAAAGTTACTACGGCTGTTTTACAATAAAAAAAACTTATAAAGAAATAAATTAAGCCCTTGCGTAAGAAATTTTGTCGACCTATTTTGCGCAATTTCTAAAAATTCAGACTGACGGTCTTCTGGACCCGTGTGATATATTCGAAGGATATTTTATGGTTATTGCTCCACTCCATTTATGGGGTATGTCGTAATACAAGAGTTATGGTTGCTATTACAAAAACTATAAGAGTTGATTTGTTTAGAGCATGAAGTAAATTATAATCCAGCTGTACTGCTGAGAGAAATATTGACGACAAGAATATTCTGACAAAATGTTTGCAGTTTTTGATGTATTTATGGACACTGATCGGCTCCTAAATATCAAAGCTTGATGTTGAAAACACGTAACTATGGCCAAGAATCACTCCATTAATTGCAAGTAGATTTTTTTTATCCTATTGCTAGTACCATCGTAGAAAAATGAACTCATTATTCTCTTTATATAACAGAATAGAAAAGTATTTTTTTTTAAGTTTCAAATACTGAAAGATCTATTACAAGAAATAATATAAGAATACTTAAGATATTTATTATTTCAGCCATAGACCGTTAACTATTGGTCATAGAATTTTGACGAAAAACACCGTCGCAGCAGGACTTTTCGCTCCTTAAATAAGAGCCGTCTTCAAGTCCAAAACCAGTCAGCATCACCTAAATATACTCATGAGTGAAACCGTTTAACGTTAATAAATAAAATCTCCTCAGTAACTTCCAAGAAGACTGGTTGTCATCATGAATTAAAGTAGCATAATTGTGCTATCCCTAACCTATTTCTGTGCTAAATTTTATCCAGCCTATCTTTGACTAAAAAAATATTTAGTGTAATGTTGCAACCAGTCTATTTTATTTTACTGACGTTCTCTGACGTCAACGTCCTGTGACGTCCCCGTAATCCCTAACGAAACGGAGTCATTATTTAAACGAATGTAATATTGTTCAACAATTGTCTCGAGCAATAATATGTCTGCTGAGTAAAGCTGTACCCTACCACGCTTCGCTGTGGTTCATTGTAGTTCCATTGATGTGAAATGAAGACCAAA